AGGTAAAAAGTCCTGCGACATTAACAATACTATTTATAATGTATAAAATATCACCGGATAATTTAACCGATGTAATACTTTGGAGGCTGAAGCCGAAATTAGGGGTTGGCAGAATCGTCGTTGTCAGGATGGCAGATGCTCTAGGGGGACTCGTTGTCATCTCATCCCCCAGGATTGGATGCATTTCCCCATTGCAGCGTTAAGTTGCATCCACGATGCAGCAACGTCTCCCTCGTTCGAGGGGTATTCCGAGAAATGGAATCTCCTTTTCGTGAAACTTCGTTGCCCGGAGGTGCAACTGCTTTCAGGCCGTTTTCGCGAAGTGCTTTAGGCTCTCTTCGTTCCCCAGAGGAGACGTTTCTAAAGGAGTGGAAAATCTCCGACAAATGGAGTTAGAATTTCATTAAAAAAAAAAATCGACAGAACCGAGCCATCTACCGAATCGCAAAATTTATCACGATTTAATATTTTTAAATGCATTTATATTATTTAGAGAGATTTTACGTGATTGCCCTGAAAGAAAGATATTCGCTAATATTGAACAATAATATTAAGAGATTTAAATTACGTTTTAAAGTGGAAATAGCCCTGGATTTCGAAGAGGCGCTATTTAGTCGGTTTTCGAACTTTTGAGAATTTCCGATTTTTAGTGCGGACGGACACTTTTGCTCTTTCAATTCGCAGGTATTTTATTTTTCGCTGTAACTAGACAAGCGACAATCAGCGAGGATGTACGTGACATGTTACCGTCATGTTCGTTGAGCGTGGATTGGAACTTGTACGTACCTTCGACAAAGACGTAGATATTCTATGTCAAAACTCCGACGTAGAGATAACGACGAGGGAAATGCATCGTTGAGAGTGATGCACCGACAATTGATTAAATTAATAATTCATGACGAAGACGTGGATTCAATTAATTCGGGCGCACGAGTCCAGATTTCTCGCAGAATCGAATCTCCGGCAAATGGGTCTTCGTGTTAGCATTTAGCAATTCGAAGGAGAATCCATTACACCCGACATGATGGCAATGCGTAGTCATTAGAGGAGGTCAATCGTGCAAATACCCTTCCAGTTAATTGCGAACACGTGAATCCGACAAGAATGTCTTCGATCGGATGCAGAATTCATCGACGATCGAGAATGTCGCTGCGTTTCTTTTGCATACAGAGTCGATCCGAGTCAATTCGCCTTTTGATTCACAAAACCGTACATGTACAATTAACTGAGTTTATTAAGCAACAATTTCCACACAATCGTTAGCGCGAGACCGACATCGGTTACCATTCTACAATGCACTCCGCATTTTTCTAATAATTTTTATTCGTGTAATTTAATGAATAACAATGCCCTCGAAATCCCGTGCGATTCATTGTTTGCAGAATTTTGACATTTTTAAATTGCGACCCCCTGGTGGGTGTAGTACCCCGTCCCAAGGGGGTCCTATCCAAAAACTGGCGAATTTCTGAAATCCAAAATCCGAATTAAGGAGGACGACTTTTTTCATTTTTTTTTATATTTGTACATTGAGTGTTTCAAATCTCGTGACGAATATTTCATTACATTCCCATTAACGAATTAATGACAACGTTTCAAGGAAGAGTGAGGAAAATTCTCTAATGTTGTCTGTTAGTATGTTAAACATTTCGGACATTTTTGCTAAATAAAGTTCAACGGAAACTTGTTCGTTTTGAGACACGCGTATATGGGAGGGGAGGGATTGTAAACTTGGGGTTATTTCGAGGGTTTTGGCAAGAAGTTTCAGCCGGTCCTTTTAACGAGCGATCCATACCGAGGAGTTTCCAGCGGATGCTCTTCGAGCACCAAGGGCGGTTTAACGAGATGCTCCTCCTTCGGTCGACGCAAATTTTTAACGAACCCAGGATAAATATAGGTGACGTTTTCTTTTCAACCGCCAGCGAAGGTGTTTGACCGTTGCCTTAGACGTTTCTCCCCTGAAGCGCGAAAACGGTATATTTCTCTTTATCTTTTTTAACCGTGGGACTTATTTAAATGACTTCAGTTTAATTACTTTTATTAACAGGAAACTCATCGAATATATTCCGGGGGAAAGAAAAGTGTATCTAGAATTTGACTCACGCATGTATATCGAAATACGAACGCGCAAATTGAATTAACCGATTAGACCAGTTGGTATCGATAATTAACGTTTCGCGATGGCATCGTTTATTAACCATTAAGTATGAATTTCTTCAGTTGAAAGAAAATGTATATCTTGAATTTGAGGCATCCATATACATACCGAGATACGAAAGCGCGAATTGGATGAACCAATTGGACCAGTTACTTAGTATAGTTAGGCATCGAACGATATAACCGCCAATAAGATCCGGCACGACGTTCTTATCAGCGATTCATGGGACAGTGTCGTTAATTAATTATCAATTATCAACTTCTTCAATTAAATGAGAAAGTATATCTTGAATTCGAGGCATCGAGTGGTCCATATATATGCTAAGATGCAAACCTGCAAATTGGATGAACCGATTAGACCAGTTGGTATCGATGCGGCATCGAATGATACCGCCACCAATAAGACGATACAACCGCCAATAAGAGTCGGCACAACGTTCTTGTTAGCGATTCGCGCGATGGCATCGTTCACTGCGACGCAATTCAGGGCAATTAGGCCGCCGATCATAATTGTCCTGGTGGTCCAGTCTTCAGACATTGCGACATCTCCGTATCGAGGGCAATGATTTCTGCAGAAACAAAGGTGATCCTAAGAGATGGCGGAAGTCGTGGTCGACTTAAAGGACAGCATCTCAGCTTATCCTTTCGACTGTGCAGCGCTAAAAAAAAAACGTGCAAATAAAATTTGGGTTTTTTGCTTGGAATTGAAAATTGTTAAAGGTTCAATGACTATGACGATGCTGACCCCAGAGGACGTCGCTTCGGTGCTCTATTTAGCGATTGCACGTCTCGCTGGCACCTATTCGAAATGGCGCACGTGGCGTGAATAATCTAATGCTATTTGGGCTAGGGTCATGGTCGAATTTGAAATCATTCACCCGAATACCGAGTTTGGGATTTCACTCGGACGTTCCTGGGCAGAATGAACCGAAGCTCCGAGATAGGTTAGGTCCAGCTGAAATTTTCGGAAAATTGTCGTCTAACGTAAGTGTTCCGAGTCATAGCATTAGGAATCGTGTCAGGTCGTTCAGGAAATATCCAGTGGATTTATTTTTGACACGAGACAAAGCCCTGACCCGTATTTGTTCTCATTTATCGCGTGCGTGACACGCGATTCAATTAACTCGCATCGATTAAGAGGCTTCAAATGACGGGAAAAATTGCTATACAAGTTTTGCAGGATTCTCGAATTTATAACTCTTTAATTATTCTATTTAATCCTTTATTGAGAGGAGGCGCAGTCTTGACCTGTCGCGTAGCAACACGAGTTGTCGAGGTTAATACACAAAGCGGTTACCGTGATCTCCGTGTAGCGTTCGCGTTACGTAACTTTCAAGAAAATCCTATTCCCAGTCAATGTTTCGCGTTATTCCTGGAATCCCGTTTCTTCTTCTAAAAACGGCGTAACCTGTAAGTGGTTTCACGGTTTTTTAGGTCAAGCAATTCTGTATAAAACATCCGACATCCAATCTTTCCGCCCTTCCAGGACTGCCAATGAGCGATACAGCTACTGTCTAAAATGAGGAATTCTTTTGACAAGGTTTTTACTCGTCTGTGCATCAGTCAATTAAACATTCGGCACTTTTGCAGCGGAGATTATATTTTCTTAAATTTTCTGCTACCGTTTCTTTCATTCCATCCAATGAGAAAATTTCCTGGGGAGACGTTATTTTTTTTTTTTTCAAGTGTAGGGATGCAACTTTTTGCTCGGGGTATTTGACGCAGCATGCCGGTAAAGTCGGTCGCCAGGAATACCGCAGTTACCCGACGAATGTAAATCACCAGGAGCAGGGCGAATCGATTCGGGAACCCCCTTTTGATGACGCGATTCAGGGGAGCCACCCTTCGCCATGGCGTCCGAACTCGTCCATGCGCAATGCCGTTTGTCTTCGATAATACCCCGACTTTCACCCCCGGACTCCGGAAATACTCCCGAGCAACTCCGACCCTCTCCCCTTTCCCTGATATTTTATTCATTTAATATCCACCGACAAGGGGCTTTAATCAAACCTTCCCTATCGCCGAGAAAACTCAACCGCGTTACGAAAGCACATGTAGAACTGCGCTCCGGATTATTTCCTACCCCCGCTGTAAATTTTACACGAATTTCCACTAAAAGCCACATGAAATTTCTGTGACTTCGATTTTTGCTCGGTCTCTTTAATCGGAATAATCTGTGGCCTAAGTCCATCGATTACCGTTTCATAAACCTTCACTGAGAAAATATGTTCATTGACTCAAAGAAATATGCATTGCTAGAACGAAGTCCTGCGATCAAGTACGGCCTTAAAAAATGTCAGTAAGGGTAAACAAAATTCGTTTAAATCAACAATGGAATTTTTCTTCTGGGTGTTGACAGGGCCGTTACACATTCTCATAAAGTTCATGCAATTTGAGCGCATACAGTGGTATTACAATTATGGTGATTTAAATTAATATGCAATGTCCGTACACGAGTTCTGAATTTGTCGACATCTTATCTGGGATGTTTTTCAACCGGCTTACCGGATTAAATACCAAGGTATACTAAATACGTGCACGAGTGATTATAAATTCAGCACCATACCTGAATAAAGCTTGCGATGCGCGTTTCATGAATTTATTACAATCACTTTAACCGGGAAGCTAGGGATGGATGTTAGTTAATTTCTTTTAATGAAAGTTTTTGTCATGATTTTTTTTTATTTACGTCTACGATTGTTCTTAACGTGTTAAATGCGTATATGGCTTCGAAGCTCGTAGAAATATGAAAGACAACCGACAAAAAAGTGGAGCAAGACGTAGAGTATCGACTAGCTGGTATCTGACCGAACGGGTCGATGATGAGGCGGTGTGTCTGGTTGCAGCGAAAATCCTGCTGTTCTACGTAATTTTCTATGCGGTTCTCTGCGGCTTCTTCGGGGCCATGCTGGCCGTTTTCTACCAGACGCTGGACCCGAATTCACCAAAATGGCAGTTGGAAGGTTCGCTCATCGGCAACAATCCTGGCCTCGGTTTCCGCCCGATGCCGCCCGAGAGCAACGTCGAGAGCACCCTCATCTGGTACAAGTCCACCGACGAGGGAAACTACCTCCACTGGACGAAAGGCCTCGACCAGTTCCTTCAGTGTGAGTAAAAAGACCCCTTTCTACCCCTTTGTAATTGACGTAATCCCCAAAAATAATTCACAGTCTTAATAATAAAGAAAGAACGTACGTGCTTCAGAAAATGTAAACCCTTGAAAATGGATCAGGTAATTTCTTTGCAGAGATATCTTTGCTATATGGGCAACACAACAATTATTATCCGACTGAGGTATCAGAAATTATACTTATGGTTGCAATATTCCTTACTAGCGGTAGTAAAAGTTTCTTTTCTAAAGGAGGCTCTGCTATGGTTACATCCACGTCTGAAACAATTGTAAACGTTTTTACTGTTAAGGAGATAATCGCTGCAGTAAGGGATTATAATTTTAGATTAATTAATTCATTCGAAATGGCGAGAGCTACCTGGTCGTTTAGCGTAAAGGGATGGACTTCTTAAATTGTAAACCTTGATCTGTTCAGCATACGAGAAGACGGGAAATGCCCCGAACGGCGCCGAGACGAGAGTGATCTGCGACTATGAGAGACCACCGCCTCCGGGGAAGGTCTGCGACGTGGAGATCGACCAATGGCACCCTTGCACCAAGTCGAACAAGTACAACTACCACAAGGCAGCGCCCTGCATTTTCCTAAAATTGAACAAGGTGAGTCCGAAGGAAGAACCCAGCTGAGAAGACGGACTCAGAGATTAATTCCATAAAGAACATTCGGCTAAGAATTCTTGTAATTCTCTCTCGAGATAAGTTTCATAAATGATTGACACCTGCAATGCCACTTTCATATCGCCTTAAATTAACCTACCGAAGCTGCGTTACAATGTAATTGTCGGCTGAAGATGATCGATCCGAAGTGTTGGTCTGATGGAAACCGACATTTTTTCAGATCTTCGGGTGGAAGCCATTGTTCTTCAACGACACGGAGACCCTGCCCTCCAACATGCCCGACGACTTGAAGGCGCACATTGCGAACGAGAGGTCGCGAAACATTAAGGCCGTGGACACGGTCTGGGTCTCCTGCGAGGGCGAGAACCCTGCTGATGTCGAGAACATCGGACCTATCCAATACATACCACGTCGTGGATTCCCCGGATACTACTTCCCGTTCTCGAACACTCCGGGATACTTGAGCCCTCTCGTCGCGGTCTTCTTCGAGAAACCCAAGTGTGAGTTTTTGGAATTTTGGGACGCCTCCTCTAAGAGTACTTCAAGGCTGACTTTACTTCCTTGGTAATAAATCCAGAGACGAGTCAGACCTGACAGTCGAGTGACAATTCTGAAAAATGGAAAAGTTTAAGGCGAGGTGTACGAAACCCTGAAACCCAGGAGTAGGACAAGGGTATTCCATCAGTTTTTCAAACTGGTCGAAATTTCGGCACATAACTCGTGAGCATTTAAATAATGTCCTGACGCTTTCAAAATTTTGTCTGCTAAGAATCTCTCGTCGTAGCTTTAATTTTTTTTTTTTAATTGACATTTTTAAAGAGTCAGGATATTTTTTAGGTATTCACGAATCGTGTGCTAAAATTTCAACCAGTTTGATGGAATACTCTTAAAAAAAAAAGGGTTCTATTTGAATCACCTCGTTTCGACGGTTTCACATCACCTTAATATTTTATTTAAGACTGTGCTGTATGTACAAAAGGTCTTACATATCAATTATTTGAGAACGCACTAAAGCGACACGAGAAAGGTGAATAGATGTAAAAAAATGGACGTGACCCGTAGTGACCCGTTGGAAGCCGGTTTCGAGTTCTTGGAGAAATGACCGGGATTATCCTTGTAGGGTTTCCCCCTTCTAAGAACATTGCACGGTCTCCTAGTACTCGTTCAGTGAGAATGCATATCAGGGGAATTGGCTTAGGCGCGAAATAATACCATTGATGAGGTGTCAGGATTTCTCCAGGTTTAGTGACCTATCCTTTGTAGCAATGAATATTCATAATATATTGGTGTAATATTGGTTCAATATTATCAATTACTAGTATATTGAGTTAATATAATATTTCACGCCCCGGTAAACATTACATTCGATATATTTGTACAATATAGGATAAACATCGTCATGCACACGGTATTTTGTTCTGCAATAACGTATATATACATATATATTGCTTTTGAACATTTGATAAAATATTCTGCCAATACGGCAAAATGTTCACATTTCAATATTGAAGCAATATTTAACGTAAATATGAAGGCTATAAAGAAGGTCCACAGACCCATAAAATTTCATTTTTTATAAACAAAATTGTAAAAATATCTATATACATATTTTAAAAAATTAAAATTTCATAGCTGTCAGGATCTTCCTTATAGCCTCCATATTCACATTGTAAAGTTTGAAACAATTCGGTATACTCAGTTTTGAGAAATGTTTCATAAACGAGACCTCTTTGATGACACTTTTACGTCATCTTAATATTGCTACATGGGGTGGTTAATCGACATAGGGTGTTATATTTTATATAAGAAATAATTAATTCGCAAAAAGTGGACGAAAGAATGCTAATAAAGGTACCTTCTTGCAGACGGCGTGTTGATCAACATCGAATGCAAGGCCTGGGCGCACAACATCATTCACGACAGATTCGAGAGGCGCGGGTCCGTGCACTTCGAGCTGATGGTGGACTAAATCGGCAGAGCAGCCGAGCCCTCAAGACCACTACCAACCGTCTCGTATTCGTCATCTCCGAGAGAAGATCATCGTCAGCTTTGGCGAACGGAGCGATCGCGGCTACCCCCTGCACCTCGTCGATCCTTTCGCTGAATCGTCCTCATCGTCCGCGTTTCACCGCCGCGAAGCGTCGCCGCTTCGTCCTCGTCATCACTTCGTCGTTTGGTCCCTAAGATAATATATACATAACAGACAAAAAAATATATATTAATAACGAAGGCGCGCACGACCCCGAGGGTGATCCTGGTAGATCCTGGCCGCGAGAGGAAGGTCCTCGTCCGGATGAATCAGGGATTCCTCTCCAGGGTGTCCGAGGTGCTCTCGCAGGATGCGCGTCCACGGGACTCGACGATCAGTTTCGTTTCGCCCTTCGATCTCTTGGTTCTTAACTGGAAAAAAAAAACAACAACAAATCACCTTCCATTACGAGGCGAAAAAACGCGCGCTCCGAGCCGAGGGCCAGCTCGACGAGTCTCGTCCACGAGGGGAAGGTCCTCGAAAGGAGGTCTTTTCGCGGCGTTTCTCGATCCTTTCCATCGTGGACGTGCGTTTCGAAAAAAATCGGCCATCCACATAGTCACCTGGTCCGCGAGAGGACGCAACGAGGAAGGTAGCTGTCCCGCGTCTCCCACTTTTACCTGGTTTCGTTGTTTAATAAGTGTGCCGAGTTCCGTTCGTAAAATACGATTTCTTTCAATGCTACCGGACGACTGATGGATCGTGCGATCCTTCTCGTTGAGTTCTTTGCATCCCCACACGTTAGACGTCGGATATCCGACATCCTTCCGCCGGATATACGTGCGAACGTGGATGCATTTTCTCGTGAGCCTCGTGATTGGATATCCGATGCCGGATGCGTGATGGAAGCTAGCCGGTGACGAACCGAAGGGATGGAAGGACCTTCCTCGGAAGGACCTCGGAGGGAAGTCCTTGCAGGTTCGGGAATTGGCTTGGGCACCCGCAACACCTCGACACACCTCGGAAAGCACAAAATTCCCAGACCCAGAGGAAAGACCCGCACAAAGGAGCGTCGGGGTCGCCGTCATCGGGACGCAGGTCCCGAAGATGGCGACCTCCAAGAGGCTTCACCAGGAAAGGACCCCGTAAGCCTGGTTTCACCCGTGCAGGGAGAAGCCGCTGCATCGGGTATCCGATCGCTACCAAGCTGTTACGCGGCCTTTGACTTTTACCGGGTTTATCGTTTGAGGTGTGCGCTATGTATAGTTTTTAATCATTTCTTCGATGCGCCAAGTTAGTTCGACCGAGTCTACGGCGTTCAATGATGCCGGACGACTGACGGATGGATCGCGTGAGAGCTCTCGTTTGAGTTCTTACGTCTCTATACGGATATCCGAGGTCTACCGAACGCACGCGTGAACGCATCTATTGCGGTCTACGTATTAGTCCCATGTACCTCGCGATCAAATCTTCGATTCTTACGAAGCGTGCCAGTTAACTTCGTACCAATGAATTGTTCAATGCTGCCGCACGACTGATGGACGAATCGGGTAAACTCTCTCTCATTTGACTTCTTACATCTCGATACGGATATCCGGCGTCTATGGAACGTACGCGTAAACGCATCCGTGCGGTCCCGTGTACCTCGCGATCGGATATCCGACGCAGGGCGGATTCGTCCGGCAAGGGGGAAACCAGGCTAACACTCGCGGTTACCGCTGAAGCACTTTTTTTAGGCAGACCAGGGGGTAGGGATATTGGTGTCGGGATCGAGAGACACCCCGTAGATGTTCATGCCACGCGTAGGTTAGTCCTCTAGAGACGTTGCCCGGGTCGCTCGGGATTCGCTTGACCGGAGGAGGGCTGCGAGGGCGGGGATTGCGCGTCGAAACGAGGCAATGCCGAGAGGGAGAGCAAACGAATCAAGACGGTGAGAGTGAGAGCGAGATAAAAACGCGCGGTATATATGCGAGTGAATGAGAGACCGACCGGGAGCGAGCGAGAACGAGCGATGGAACGCATGGGAGAGCGAGAGGGACCGACCGATAGGCTGCGAGATTCGTAGATAACGAGCGAGCGAGAGATTCTCAGATGCACGCTGCTTGGCAGAAGATCAAACCACGTCGCGTAATGCGTACGCAATGTGTACGCGATGCACGTAATTTACGCGCTTAGTGATGTCTACGCAATGACGGCCGCGCTTGGCCGTGGGCGAGGGCGAGATTCTTCGGAGGGGACGAGACGCTGGAAGACTGATCCCCTTAAAAAATTCAGGATGGCGCCCGGGATACGGAAACGCGGTTTCCCGAAAGGGGCGAAGAAACGCCCCGAATGGGAATTTGAAAGGGCCTGGTAGCGTTCGTTACCGCGAATTCGGGTGCTTTTCTCTCGAATTGGTCCAGAGGGTTTTCGTATCTCGGAGTTGCGAGCTTTTTTCGAGGACGCACCTCCGGTGGGTGTCGTCTCGTCACCTCGAAGAGCGCTCCAGAGCGGTCGGCGCTGACTCGCCCGGGTGTTCGAGGCGTACTTAACTTAAGTTTTAAGAATTCATTCGAGGCTCGCACTTAAGGAGGAACGAGACGAAGCCTGCCTAGAAGAATATCCGTATGACGTTATACGAACTACTTACGATTGTACTGTACCGCATTACTATATATATAAATATATACATAGGGTGTATACTGGCGTACGTGCACGCGAATGTATACACGGGGTGTAAAGTTACAGGTGAAATGACTGGGGGAATCAGAGGCACTCGGGAGGTAAATGCAGGAAACGGGCGAGAGAGAAACAAAAACACCGACGACATGTTCGGGTACACGCGGCCACGCAGTCGTACTTATTATAGTCGGTAGGTAATTCCATTATGTGGCCTACGGGCTATGCGTGGTTCGTGATTCGCGATTCGTGGGGCGTCTTTGGAAAAGTTGAGGTACTCGAGGGGACATTACTTTTTCCATAGACATGACGCATGGGGTCATGGACTCGTCGTCCAGTTCATTGTGCTTCGGTTCGGCGCGAACTACTCATCGGCGATCGTGATCAATCGGCTTGCCATAAGTCGTCATAAATCGCCAGAAATCCCGAACCGTATAATGCCAGTTCAGCGGGAATTCATTCAAGAATCACAATTTACGAATCAGCGAGAAGCCAGTTCGTCGCATCGACGAACTCGCACGAACTGGCGTGCCACGAATTTCTAATCACAAGCTACGGATAGTCCGTAGCGGCCTTTAGAGGCGATTTTTCGAGGGGAGGAGAGCTCGCTCGACGCCGGGTTTCGGCGAGCGCCGCGACGTCGCCTCCTCGTCGGGTTCCGGAGAGCGGGTCGTCGGATCGATCAGCTGATCTCGCGCGATAGTACAAACGCCGGTCCCGGGGGTCGTCGGCCGGCTCCTCGTCGAGACCCGATCGATCGATACCCATCGATCGACGTAACGAGAACGATAATAATTCGATCCCGGCCATGCCTGGGGACATGTTAAACTTAAAGATTAGAAAGGATCACCGATGACACTAATAAAGAACACGCGTTAACGGCATAACGTGTACAGGCTGTCCCGGAACGACTCTGCCGCACCTCGGCGGTGCACTCTGCGATAGGTTATGAAAAACTAACATCGCTATCGTAACAACGTCATGCTCATCACTGACGGATTCGTTCCGACAAAGCGCTCTCGTGTTCATAAGTGTATAACGTTGTTCCCTCGTTTCCGGAAGTGGAGTGCGTTACCCAGGTCTGGCCGCCGCTTTCTGGGACGCCCTGTATAGATATATTATTATTAAAAATAAAAGGTATATATATATGCATATATATATACACATCTGTAACCTGTAACTAGAGCAAAGTGATTATATTCATCATTATAGATGAGCTGTTTCTATAATGGATATCTAATGTTGTTAAAGTGTGAAGTGCGAGGGAGGGAGAGAAAGGGTTAAACGGTGACTGCGACGAGAGAATGGACGGCTGTTTTGTGCGCGTGTAAGTGTGTGCGGGTGCCCGAGTGAAATGTACTTAACGACCGATTAATTAATAAATCGCCGATGCGATTCCGATGGTCGCGCTTAAAGCGTCGAACATGGCGAGACCCAATGCGCACCGTCGAGGAAACGGCTCGCCGACTTTGACGTTACGTATACGTTAATGTGCGGATTGACTGCGAAAATGACGCCGTAAAGACGGGCCGTAAGTGTGAACCAGGACTTTCGGTAACCGGGAGTCACTCAAAAGCTCCGATCACTGAACAAAGGGAATAAAGGACTTCGATGCGAAAAGCTGATGTGAACTTTTGCGCGGTCGAGGTAGCGAACGACGTTTCTTCGGGTGTGCAAAAGTTAAGTGGAAAATTCGCTGATGTCGAAGGATGCACGTTTTCTAGCGTAATTTGAGACTAGGAGGGTTTAACCACTTTTTTAATTATTTTCGAAGCACTTTTCCATGCCGGTCGAAAAGTCCTCTTGGGTGCCAAGGTGCCGCCATGTTTGAAGGAACAGTTTCATCGGAGCTTGTCGGTGGTACCTGGATGAGGAAGGTCCTGGGAGATCCTGCGGTGGGATCGCATTAATTGTACGTTCGATACCTCCTTGCTCGCCTTGATGCTCGAGCAAGGATTACGTCGAAGGACGAGCCGCGAGGTCCTCGGAGGAGCGCGAATAGTTTTCCTAGTCACACGAACCCACGCGAAGCGAGGAGTCCCGCGAAAAACCGCAAAAGTGGAATAGAAAGCGCACTAAGAGGTAAAAAGAGCTGGTCGTTGCGCCTCGAAACGCTTCAAGGAGGGACGACCAGCGAAAAATCTTACCAGGCGCTATATAACACCGCGTTATAGGGGATCGCGTTATAAGTCGTCGGGTTATAACGTGTAACGTAATAAAGTACCGCGTTATAAATCGTCGCGTTGTAGAACGGCGCGTTATCGAGCACCGCGTTATAAATCGTCGGGTTATAACGCGTAACGTAATAAAGCGCCGCGTTGTAGAACGTCGTGTCGTAGAGCGCCGCGTTGTAGAACGTCACGTTACAAAACGTCGTGTTATAGATCACCGCGTTGTAGAACGCCGCATTACAGAACGTCCCGTCATAGAGTGCCGCGTTACAGAACGTCGCATTATAAAACGTCGGGTTAAAAAAAAGAAAACAAAAAACGTTATGAAGCGCTGCGTTATGGAACGTCATTATATAGCACCGCGTTATAAAACGTCAAGTTATAGAGCGCCACGTTATAAAACGTCATATCGGAGATCGCCGCGTTACAGGACGTCACGTTATAAAACGCCGCATTACAGAACGTCGCGTTACAGACCGCCGCGTTATAAAACGTGTTATAGAACTATGCGTTAAAGGACGTCACGTTATAGAGCGCCGCGTTATACAACGTCTCGTTATCGGTCGCCGCGTTATCGGCCGTCGCGTATCGAAACGTGGCGTTATAGAGCGCCGCGTTATAAAACGTCGCGTTATCGGCCGCCGCGTATCGAAACGTGGCGTTATAGGTCGCCGCGTTATCGAGGTCGCGAGTGGACGTCGGGAAGGAAGTCCTTCGAGGCGATTCGCTCGTCTTTATTCCGCAGCCTCGGTCGCTCTACCCGAGGGCGTAGTTCCAGTTTCGATTTCGAGAGTCCAGTTTCGCTCAGGCGAGTCAACGCTACCGTAGACCTCGCTCGATCTCGCGGCCCGGATCGGACCGTTCGCGCGGGGCGCGACATCGCGCGAGGACACTTTATGCTGCCATTATTGTGTGTCCGCTTCAGTGGTGGGAGATATCCGGACGCGGTTCTCCGTATTTAGCGTTTGTATCTAGGCACTCCTTCGATCGTCGTCCGTCTCGCGCCTGTCGACACCGCACGCCGCCCCCTCGATCAAGTGAGGAGGGCAGCTCCCCCGTGGCGAGGCCCACCACCGAAGTACGTAGAAACTGCCAGGCGATATCGTAATCGACCCCCGGCGAGGCGCGACCGGCCCGGGTGGCGAGGCCAGTCCTCCTCGAGGCATCGCGCGAGGAGGTCGGGTCGCGCGCGTGCTGTCCGCACCCGAGCCAAACAATTCGAACGCTCTATAAAAGCCCAGATCATTTTTCTTCATTTATCCCGATCACTTGTAACACATACTAGAGGCGTCATTTCTGTCAAACTCTCTGCAAACGATGATTCGACGCAAACTAAACTTTTAGTGCGCCGATAGTACGCGTACTAAAAGATTCATTCCGAGAGTTTGATACGAAGTACCACTTTAGGACGCGTACCGAGTGATCGGTGTGTGCTAAGCGTATGTTGGCGTTTGATGCTTCATATGTTGGCAACCAGGATGGATCGGTATTAAGGTGTTCAATCTGAAATTGCGGACTTTACTGTCAAAGAAGACGATAAAATCCGCAAATTTGGTGAACTGGGGTTAACAAAATTGGTATCTTCGGTTTACATGGCGCTATCCTTGTTGACCCTGGAATGGAAAAATCTTATATACTAGTTTTACAGTGAATAATTTATCAGTAATAATACATTGAAATATAGACGAGCAGCGTTCGTTATCGGAACAAATACCGCGTACACGCGCACGATTTAACGGCGTGGTATTCGGCACGTGTTTCGCTAATTGTCTCACCTGATTGGTTGTATTTCAGTTGATTCTTACAGGAAAACCATGCACTGTAGACAAAAATGGTATGAGACCTTTCTACCCCATTTCCAGCAAGTCCGGGTAAATCGTGGCCACTGGTTTTGTAACACCCGGTAGAAGAACCTAATAAACAAGAGAACACATGTGTTATACAACGGAATCTCACTTATGAGAGAAAATCGTATTGAATAGTGGGTACCGCGAGTAAGACAAAGAGCACGTGCAACCTGTATGATTGTCGTAAGAGTGGGATGGAGAGACCATTGGAGCGTCGCCATTTGTTCATTGCTGTGCTAATTATCGAACTTGGTCTAACGTTCGCGTTTTCTTGGGCTTTTATGGAAATTTCCGAATTATTTGTTCGCCCAAGCGGGTGCGCCCTCGCACTTCGGGTCGGTTTCCTTTCGCGCGTCCACGTGGGCACACTGTTAAGCGTTATCTAACCCATCACTGATATCCGAGTGGAAAAGGCGATGCTTTCGACGCGTTTGCTCTGTGCGGAATCGTAGTCTGACTTAGTACTAGCTCCATTACCAATCACTGTTGGTATGACGAATAAACGATGTTTCCATCGAAACGAATCCAGCTCTGTATGTGCGACATACGTAGCACTCTAGTCCTTAATTAAATTGCGTACTTGTAGTACTTATACACGACCGGGAACACGCGCGCTTCGGCGAGCACAGCGTTTAAGGCGGTATGAAAGTGGTTGTTGAGAAGTCGATCAGATATGAATTTTCTCCAAACTGGACACGTAGAATAGTTTGAAACTTTACCACGTGAACATGGATGCCATAAGGAAGGTCTCGACACCCACGAGATTCCTCTTTTACATTTGCTTGTAGACATTTTCTTTTTAATTTTCGTAAAGAAAATGTAATTTCACGGGTATCGAGACCTTCCTTATTGCATCTATGCTCACGTGGTATGATTTCAAACGATTCGGCACATCCATGTTCAGGGATAAATGACAATTTGATACCTGAGATGCCACTTTCATATCATCTTTGAAGGGCCATCGGGTGTGATTAGGGAGGCTTAGCGATTCCGCTGCTTTCCGAGGATGCGAGCCGCGAATCGGTGGCCCTGACTTCGTTAGTTCCTCAGAACCGATTTTTCTGGTTACCGTTGTCAGCGTAGCGATTATTAATTCGTATACAGTCGATACTCTCGAAAGCCGCGTACTCTCACCCCGACGACATTGTCACGGGCACGACGGTGCCGAAAGACGTCACCGAACACACGATGTTGCTTCTCACGGAGTAAATAAGGTCAGCTTTAATTCTTGCCTCTCGCCAATTAATCACGACTCTCTCTCTCTCACCAATCTGTAAGTTAAGGCCGATTTTTAGCACGCCCCGACGAATCGAGCGATTCGTTACGCTCGGGGCTTATCGTTAGTTAAGGTGATATGAAAGGCGACGAGAAATTTAATCGACATTGGCTAAAAAATAATCTTCCTGATATGCCGGCTGAAATAAATTCCGGTCCTTACCCCTTTCGTAACGTCATTTCGGAAATTTCGGAATTAAACGCATTTATTGAGCACGCGTTGCTCACGGATAACCGATAATTTCAATGCACGTGTTTATAAGACTTTTCTTGATATTTTCTTAATTAATCTTTAATGTTCGGTTACTATAGAGTTCTAAATTGGTATGCCTAAGTCCTCAAAGTCTCCGTTTTTTATTCTGAGCTCGTAAAAAGTGTGAAATTTCAAAAATATGAGTTGGCAACGACATCTTGGTTTTAATATGGAAAGAAATAATAACATGGATGTTTTTAATGCAATTTCATGGGTGTAAGGACCTTTTTTAGGACTTACATTGGCACGTGGTAAAATTTCAAAGGATTTGAGTGTATCCGGGTTTTCTAGAAAAGTTTTATAAATAATTTTGACGCCTCAGATGCCACTTTCACATCACCTTAAGGCCTTTGCGGATAGCTCGAGTAACAGTAATCGTAAGTACAACAGTAAGTATAAAGGCGCAATAATAAGAACTGGCTAATCAAATTACCAAAATAGGACGGCATGTTAAATTTTATGCAATTTGATTGGCAGGTACTTATTATTATGTTTACGGTTACTGTTATGTGAGGTATCTGAGAAGACCTTTATCGTCAACGGTGAAATAATATCAACCAAGGTAATAGCCGCGCAAATTGATTGTACGCTGTTTGAATGAAAAATGTTCATTTGTCGAGTGTCGTTCCAATTTATGGACCACCTGAGGACGTTGAACCGTAAATCTCGATAATTCTTCCGCACCAAGTGCGAAGTTATATCGGAAGATGTCGATTTTAACGCGGCTTTGACGTCTTCGGGTCGATTTATGCTATCCGACCCGGTCCGACACGTACCGGGTCCGACACGTAATGGTGTCGATCTGACAAAACTTTGTAACATGCGTTTCAATGGCATTATTCACCTTACCATACACTGAGTAAAAAATTCACTTCCTATAAAAAATTGAGATCCTTGTAATAAAAATATCACTTTTATTAACAATATATATGTTACGAAATTTTGTTAGATCAACACCGGCACGTGACGGAACCGATTCGTGCCGGACCGTGTCGGATATGAGAATCGAATTTTCGTGTGTCCTTAAAAAATTCCCGTTGCTGAAGATAAACTGTTTTAACTAATTCTGGACGTATCGGGTCTTCGGGTAAAATACTCGCTGTTTGGCTGTTTCTTTTTAGAAGACTGCATCTTTCTCGGTCTAACAATGCATAGGATGCTGTCGAAGTTGAAAAGCAATCTGGACGTGGTTCGTGTCCAAAATTGGACCGATGTGTTTTCAAAGGACGATCGACGTCGTTACTTTTACGAAATATGTGGAATATTCGACTATTGGCTTGCAGTCGATCTGGTCGCTGGATTTTATACAGTTTACGCTTTGAATGCGAGTTCTTTTTAATTCTAACCCTTCTAAATCCACGGAATCTCGAACTACGCGAATTTAAAACGTTTCAAGCCACGATTAAGAACGCAAAGCATCGAAGTGAACCTTGATAATGATTTTGAAGGGCTTTTTGCAGGCTCTCGCACATTTATCGACACATCGGTCAGATCAGTGTAATGTTTTAGGTGTGAGGTTAAGATTTTCACTTAACAAATTTCGGCTGAGAATAAGAGGACTTTGGACATGTGCAACTGGACACTTTTCAAGATAGATCGAGTTATTTAATGATCGAGCGATGATTTTGAAGAGGCTGACCGAATTGATCCGAGATTGCTCCAGAGAGTTCCAGTTTGCTCCAGTCGCTCTTAATTTGCAATTTTCGAGGCTCTTTAAACCTAAAGTATTACTGACGCATGCCAAGTTCCGGTCATTGCGATCTATAAAGTAGCTGGGAGTTACTTTCGCCGTCTTAATTACTTAATGTCATTCCTCGAAGCGGACCTGTTACGTGCAACGTGTACAGGAAGTACTCCTCATAATTCAACAATGGAACGTCTAATAGTCAGCAACGCTGACAAACAAAAGTTCGTCATTTCCATATGAACTTTCTGAAATCCACGAGGATTTTCTATAATCGTTATTAATTTTTATTTCCAATGTATAAATTAAACGTTTTTCTAGGGGAATTCGAGGAATCGGTCGATATGTACTCATTACTCCATTAATGCGATATGAAATTTTATTTGGAAAATATTACAGTAATTCGCAATATAATTTTGTTAGGCAATGTCGCGAAAAAGTGGGTATAAATAAATGATACGGTAAAATGAAAGATATCCAAGATAAAAAGCTCTTTTCGAAAAGCAGAGGCAAGATCAAGTTCGTCGGAGCGAACAAAGCTGCTCTAAACTGCGTTAAATCTACCACGAAATGTCTCAATAAACACAAAGTGGTATAAATAAGACGAATTAAACGTTTTAACCGTGTATTACGGAATGTCCGCCTGTAGCTCGTCTACTGTCATTCGTATTTTTTGGTAATCTAAAGAACGTATACACCAAGGGAAGTGGGTACTGAATAGAAGGTAACTTTTTAAAAAAATTACTCTCAAGAAAATGTTTCATCTCCATTAATTAAAAAAAGAAAAAGGACCTCGATTGTCCTCCGTGATTTTTGTATCTATCTAAGGCTTATCGTGATGCAATGGCACGTCTGTTGACACGACTATACTTGTGTGTTATAAAACATAAACTAGAGTGTATAAAATTAATTGGGAGATTTTTCGGAGTAAATATCGACGTCATGTGCTTCGGTTATATCGATTATACTTCAGATCCGTGAGATGCGATAATTACGTCTCGACGCACTAATCGAGCCATAATCGAGACCGGTTCGATATACATCGACGATAAAATAAAACCGACTGTTTCGTCGGTTCGTCGCCTCGCCTCTAATTCACGCGAGATTAAATTGATCCGTCCGAAATCGTCAGCTGTATTTGTTTCGTGATAAGAAAGCGAAAAACAAGTGCAAACTGGTTTCTCGGAGAAAAGTTAATCCTACTAATTTCTGCAAAGATTGACATACCGTCGGGACGATTTTAAAACGACATTACGACGGATATACGTCCGCAATTAATATATAGCGTTCAAGAGGTAAAAAGGTACATACCCATGAAAGGAAAAAATAGGGAATAAGAATCACCGACTATCAAACATCATAATGGCTTATTTTCACATTTTTCGTTTTCGTTAGTAATTACAGCGAACGCTACACGTCTTTATGGTATCCAACTTGTGCTAGAAGATGTTTGTTAAGTCTTTAAAATACGCATGCAAACGACAGACAAGTAATAATAAAACGTTATACCATCTATTCTGGTGTACACGCGATGCAAGTGTATTCGGTGGTTTGGAAAGTCGCATTGTGAAAAAAGAAAAAGAAATGAAAAGCGTGATTTAAAGACGTGGAGAGTTGGAGTGGCGCTTTGGTAATCCGATTAGGTTTGGCTTAAGTAGATTCCGGATTTAATTAAATTTTTGACGTCAGATTTCATCGGATGACTGATAAACGTTGCACGAGTGGTTACGAGAGCATATTTGCGGTGTACATGAATGATGATATGTTTGCCCCTGAAGAGAGACACGTTTCAGACCCACGCGCAAGCTGATGTCGAGTTTCACAATGCCGAAGGCGTATTTAGCACCGAGTGACGAGACGTGTAAGTATTTTTACTTTTGCTTTTCAATTTGGTTAGCCCATAAAACCATCTCGGAATTCCTTTAAATTCTTGGATATCCCGAAATCTACCTAAGCAAATTAAGCAAGTTTTTCGAAGATTTCTCTAGCGCCCCTGAAGAATGACCTTTTTTATACACACATGTAACAGAATACAGCTCTTAATAGCATACTAGGAGCACAGTCCGCAGTTGTATCGTAGGGACTATCACATCAGCGTCCATTAATTCGCCCTGCTCCTCAATAGTGTAACAAGTAACAAGTTTTACAATAAGTAACGTAGCATCAATTTTATAGCTATCTAAGGACGACCCTGTAATTCAGGTTCTGCAGTAGAGAATAATTATCCTTCTTCCGTTCGCAGCGTCGATGTAACAGGTAAACGCAATGTGGAGGGTGAGCGCGTTTCCAGCGAATTTCCTGCAACTCGTAAGTTCGACTACGGTCCGGCCTCGAGAGCTGCGCGCGCCGGTGGCGGCTAATGGCCCTCCTAACCTGAAAAATCAAGGCCTCGCCGTCTCGCCGACTAAGATCTCCCGTGCGACGGACACTCTCTTCCGTCTCTTTCCCTACCTCCCGCCTACCGAACGCGGCAATGGCATTAATCCGGCGCGGCTTGGCGACACGAGGAACGGACGCGGACAGGATGTGGTCAATTCAGATCAGCGTCGCGTGTGACTCACATTATACACGCCAGCCATTCGGCCGCGGTGCCTCGCGCGGCCGCCGCCCGCGCCGCCACCGGCGGCCGAGCGGAGGCTAGGCCCGAATAGCGCCGAATAGGACAATCGCAGCAATCCGCACGCCAGATGGCGTAACTTTAAGGTCACTCCGGCCGACCTTAGCCCCCAATTTGTCCCGACGCCGACCTCCGACCTCCGACCGCCGATTCGCGACGTCTCTGCCCGCTGCAGCCGGAAAGACAGGTTCCCGAATTACCGACCCCACCGTTCGCAAGCAGGGTTGGGTAGATACGATACGTCTCGTAATATACGTGGTTTTCTACGTGTTATTACACATATAATACGTCCCTAGTTTTCTACGGGACCGCGAAGTATATTACGCCCTTCAATTCCTAAGTAGAAAATATTAAACCCACTTAGAAATTTGATATTAAACAGGGTTAAGTAAAAAGAATTTTAAACACAATACATATGTGCTAAAAGACGTTTATCAGTTAGCGGATACCGTATATCGTACATCTACGACAACCTCTACATTGGAAACGTAATTTACTGGTTTTCTACAATTGTCTGCTGTAAACTATACGGTTTACGCGATACACGTCAAAAACCTCGAAAACAGGATATTATACCACCATATTAAAATAGCATGTTGTCAAAGATTAATATAAAGTAGCTAATAAGTGCTTCGCGCATTTCCAAGATGGCGGGTCCTCTCTGCCGCCATCTTGAAAATACACGAAGAACCTAGAAGAACGTAAAATGAAAATAATTTCTGAAGAAAGAATTGTTTTATGTAGTAGGCACGATGAAATCGAGTGAAAAATAGCCCTGAATTCGTTGTGCAACGTGGACCTAGCTGCAAGCTCAATTTATTAACCGACTTATGTGGGTACGAACGACTTCTTTTCTCCATAGCAAGTACGATCCGCTGTTTGATACGTGGAAAATATTGACAATGTAATGTTAACAGTGTTCTCGGAGGTTTTATCCTGGCTTAAGTAATTCCATGGGAAGTACCCCGGAGCTGAGGGCTCGGATACTAATTGAGGATGTGTCTCTGAACGCACAGGATATGCGGAAACTGCCTCAAACCGGAATCTCTGTGTTCGCCCACGACGTGCCTAAAGACATCACGAGTTAGGGAGGGAAGGTGCCTTTATTGACATATCCATTCAGAGTGCTCAAACGGAATTAGCTCCCGTACCTAATATTATTTCACAACAAGGTCGACGTCCCGGATGTATGTGTTTCTACAAATTAAATGAATTGCATAAATGCGCCGGAAGAATCGGGCAAAAATGACCACCGTATATTAGAGCATCTACGGTACTTAAAGGTTTTGAAAAATGGTACAACTAATTTTCATGAAACCCTTTCGGTTCTTTTAAGCCGGTCATAAGGATTTGAAGCACCCGTTCAACTATACCATAGTATGGCACGGTGCATGTTGTCAATTCGCATTACGCCAGCTCGAAACTCAAGGCTGCGATGACGTTTTGATTTTCGTCACTGACGATTCAGCTTGACGGCAATTTAACATTTATCTCGTTAAGCAGGATCCCTAACTTTCCGATTTGGTCTCCTTTCAGCTGAGAGTCACGGGACGGTCGGAGTCTAGTTTGGAATTTCACAGGAAAGGCGATTCGTGTCCTTTCGTTGCCCAGAAAACAAAAGATTCTTATACCGAAAATCGCCTAGACTCTAAACCACTTTACGCGTAAGATCAATCCATCCATTATATCGGTATTAAAAATATTACAACGAATAGGCTAACATTTTTTTATTAAGAATTACGAAAGTCCTGTTTGTATACACAAATTGGAGTGACTTCCGCCACAATTTGTTGTAATTGGCCAAAAGTCATCAATCAAAGACTTTTGCCATGTCAACCGAATACATCTTCTATATAACAATCGTCCTATTGTTGAACTAAAAAAAAGTGTCTCGATTAAATCATCTTTCCACGTGTAGGAAAGGAGCATTGGAAGAAAAGGCAGGCGAGTCGGTGTGCGTGCGCAAGTCGAGCCGAATCAGCGTCCACACGTGGCCTGGCGAGCGGCGAGTAGCGAAGAGCAGCGGCCGAGTAGCGGCCCGGCGGTCGGGCGCGTCCGCTGGAGGGGGGTCGCCGGGCCGGGGGCCGGGGGGCTCGGAGGGGTCCCTAGGCTGACGCCTCCTGCGGGCCGCAGTTAACCTGGCGGTGCCGCGGCAGTCGGAGTAGAGTGCGTCATCCGCGAGGTTGGTCGCGTGCGCGAGTCCCGAGTTTTCGAGATCGCCGCGCCGAAGGAGTCCGCCAGGATGGTGGCGAAGGACCCGAAGTTGGCGGCCTCCGAGCTGATGAACCCCTACGAGAGGCCGCCCAGCATGTCGGTGCGCCAGTCCCTGCGCAACTTCCTGTACAACAGCGAGACCGGGGCCTTCATGGGCAGGACCGCCAGCAGTTGGGGTAAGCAAGAGCAGACCCAGTCAGGGAGTGCGAGCAGGTGGCTGCGCGGCTAGGCCTGCGCACTGGTCTGAACGCAACTACTTGCTCGCGCTCAGGTCGTCGTCCTGACTTCTTATCGGCGAGGATCGACCTTTTCGATCGAAGAAATCGACCGCTCGCCGATTCCCCTCTGCCGTTCACGGCGCAAGTAGTACCCTTTCCGAAAGCGTCGTTTCGTTGAAAATGCTTAAAATTACGGAATTCAAAAGGAAGGGAGAAGATGAGAGTATTCAATAGTGGTTTTCTTAACGGGGGGAGAATGGGCGAGCGATAGCGTACAGTGCGTTTCATTGTTTTCACGGAGAAGCGACTTAATGACTAGGCGTCGCCCGTCGCTGCGGCAGGTGAAGTCGCCTTTGGAGAGAGGCTCTCGAACCTCGACTGGGAGCGTCGGGGTGCGTTCGGAAACTCAGCGACGCCGGACCCTTTTTATGGCCATTGCTGTGAAAGAGGTTATGTCGATGGATTTCCGAGACACCCTCGCTGACGCGGGATCGGCCAATCGGCGCCAATTGCCGGGTAATAATCCCAACCCTCATGGAGACGAATTTCTTAGTCCTGGATTTACAGTTTCGAAGTATAACTGTCGCCCGTGAAGGCGGACCCAGCCCCGATAAATCAACGCCGACCCCCATGGCTAGCCCGGGTTAACGATGGTCGATTGCTCTCTTGCTAATGCGCCCCTCTTGACCTAACCTCTCTAACCCTAAACCTCACAATGGATCACCTTGAATTCGGTCCCTTTCTAAACTTCTTTTTCACGCAATGAAGGCGCCATTATTCCTAACACACTTTAATCGGGGCAGCCGTGAACGTTGGCGTCCCATGTGCGGATTAAGGCCACTGTCGAAGGGTTTGCCGATCACGATTTTCCTCGCGACCCCTCCCCTAGAAATGTCCTAAAGGAATGGCTTAAACTTGACTTCCGACGCACACCGCACGCTCCCGTAATCCGCTCAATTGATGATTCGTCTCGTCGGAAGTAGTAATTCCGACTTCCAACTACTCGTTTCCTTGAAATTCGATTCCTATTTGTTTTTCATCTCCCCGGGGACGCTACTAGTGTCTTGAGCTCTAGAGCTGCGCGCGTGTTGGGACACCTGCGCGCGCAGCCGCCATCTTTGCACGCGGCCGACGTCGAGTCGGTACATTGCTTGCGATCGGTGACCTGCATTTTTCTAACGTCACCTCGCCGGATGTTCCGCCGACGCTGGGGACGCTGCTCCGTCGCGACGGCGGCTGTCGTCGACGACTAATTAGTCGTTAAATTAGCGGTGTCTGACACGAACGTCGTCTTCGGACGAGCGCGTCGCTCGAGGATATAGTCTGCGCGTCACTCCCTCAGACTGGCTATAGTTCGTGCGCGGCGCATGCGCGCGCACTCGTCCGCAGCGCATTCCACTCGCATGCGACATCGGCTCTCCGGGAAAATACGATTAGAGACTTCGATGCGTCAGGAAAGCGCAACGGAAACCACCTGCCGTATTCTCGCTTCGATCGCACTTTTTTTTAAATTTATTTCGCAACTTTTCGCAATTTTTCGCAATTTTTCGCAACTTTTCGCCCTTGGCTCTTTTCCCTCACCTCTGCCCACGGGAGACATTGATATGCGATTAGAAGCGTACTCAAGGTTGTTGTTAAATATTTATACATCCAAAAGTAGATTTATTTTACACAGATGTTTTCTAGGAAACGTTCTCTTAAAAGAATGACTCGTAAAAATTGTACGGATACGAGAAAAATGATATAACCGGTGTTATTAAAAATGACTACGAATTTGTTATATGATAGCGGTGTATTTCAATAAATTGCGGGAAGAAACCATGGAATATGTACTTGGCACGAAACTCCACCGGGTTCTTTTTCTATTTTAGCTTTGTAAACCGTAATATCATGGAAGAATGTAGAATACGGAGGGACGTTTTTAATGAAAAAAATCGATACTCAGTTGTGGATTTAATAATGACGGATGTCGGGTATTATGGTTGTATTTTGTGTTATTTACCGTAATATTTCACGTAATCAATTAAACGTTTGTCGGTGAAGAGCAAAGAATTTTATCTTGTCAACCAAATATTTAATTGTCTATGTAACAATTATACTCCACGATTGAACCAACACAAATTTTACCGATTTAATTGAATCTTTTTTTTCGTGTAAACTCATGATTTCCATCTTTTCTTTTCGATGCTGCGTAATTTGGTTGAAAATGGTTGATATATCTTATTTCTCAATGTCGAGCAATTGCGAGCTTGATTTATTCTCGTTCTTTTTGCCCTCTTTTACGTTATTTGCGGACTCGATACGTTGGAAAGTTATACGAATATAAATTGTGAAAAAAATATGACAAAGGGTGCAACGCGTTCGCTGCTCTTGCACGAATCATTCGGATCGATCGCTCATGGGGTGTGGTTTGTGTACTCGGCTCAAACCTAAAAGAGTACAAGGTGTGGGTCACTTGTCCCATAATGGGGGAAATAATTTACATAGGCTTGGCCAAAGGTTACACCGAAATGGCGGAAGACAGGTGTATCTGTCGATATAGGAAACGTATATATAAGTGAACGCTCAAATGTTAACGACGGAAATTACGTACAATCGCGGTACCGGTAATGATTTCTACCCACCAGCGAGTTTGCAAGTCAATTGAAAGACTGCCGTTTGCGCTTTACTACCGGTCGTTCCTTATCTTCACGCACTTCTCGTTAATACAATTACTGATAGAAATTAGGAGTGACTCAACCGCATGCAATCAGCTGATCGGGTCAACAGTTGACCACTCGAGGAGAAATATTTATCACGACCAAGAGTACTCCGGTTTATATGATATTATTTATTTTTAATATTTCGTGAAAAATGAATGTGTAGGGATATTCAGCGAGAATGGTCCTGGTTGTTGTTAACAATTTACATATTACTTGATTAGGGTCGACTGGTAGGATTTTCCTGTTATCGCGATCCCTGGTCTGAAAGGCTTTTTTGTTTCTAGGGTAATCGGCTCATCCGATTTTCCCATCCTTGACACATTTATCGAGCGTCGATGTAAGGGTCAAATCGAAAGTTAAAAAATCGGATTGTCTCGTTTCCCACGAAGACCCGCAATATCGGCCCAACCGGCCAATTGTATATTTTCACCTGTAATCAGCTCAGAAGCCTGTCGTGAACCCAACTCTTTGCTCTGAATCTCATTTTGATGTCTGTCGAAATATTTTGACACCGTCCTTGCCTGATAGAGGAGATTGATATCGATTTGTTGTTGGCTCGTTTACTTGTTACTTTGTCCTTGTATGCAGAGAAATATTTGGTTAAATCAATAAAATTTGTTCTGTTGGTACAATCATATAATGTAATTACATGGTCAAACAAATACTTGATTGATATGATAAAGTTCTTCGGTTAAAGTTATTGGTTGGTTACGTCAAATATTCCAATGGATCGCAAGAAGTATTGAAGTAATTTGGTACGTTTAATCGAAATATTTGGTTTACCGAGGAAAATGTTTTCTCAAATTAACAAAACTACTTAACCAAAAAAAAACTCTGTTTCATCGGAATAAACGTGTCTGGTTAAATGAATAAAAATTTACCTTACTCAAGTAAAACGTTTTCTGAAATTAACGAAATTTGACCAATCAAAGGATTTCGATTAATGAACCAAATTTTGTTCTGTGAGTACCGGTGACGAGTGTACGCGTTAACGAGTGATAACTTGACAATTTATTTTTAAGGCGTACATTAAAATTATGATTTTCTTTGGGAGTTCATGAAAGAGCTCCTGAATTTTTTCCCTCGCGTGAAAATTCGCCATTTTTCGTGATTAACCAAACGCCCGATTTACTCCGATTTGGCAAATAATGAACTGGCGTAACTGGTGTGCGCAAAAGACGTGTCATACGATACATGTCAATGCAAAGCGGGAAGCTCATTACCGGACAGTTTTTCACTGCGTATGCAAGGATTTAAACGGATGACGTAACGAGCGCTAAATTTACTCCAACTGATACTTCCGGTGCGAGTGTACCGCGAACTGGTAGGATTTTGAACGGCTTTTCCCACAGGTTGCACCTCAAAATGTCCAAAATTGGATAAATTGAATCACCGAAACGAAAAGATACAAGCGACCATCAAGACAAGGACGTGAACATTAAATCAGAAGAACGGCATCACATAATCAATAGGGTGTACATTTTCGTAAGTTTTTATGATTCCTGTTTAGCAGTCGAAACTTTGTATGTATTCAAATTGCCGATTTCAAAAGATATTTTATATCACATTATTATGGATTTCGTGGCATCTTCTAGATAGTGGTACTTGAAGCTTCACGTGTCCATACATTTTGGAAGAAAAAGGGAAATATGTTGAAAAAAACGGCGTACACATTTTGGAGTAGCACGTGTTTCCACCTGATCGACGCCTATCGACATGGGAGGGCATCGGGGGAATAAAAAAAGAGAGAGAAGACGGAAGCGCATCGCACACGAGTCGTACATACAACGATGCGTCGCTGAATGGCAATTGTTGAACTTCCCTTAGCGCAAACGTGTACAACGAGGTCAATTGGCGATAAATGGAAGCATTATGGTATTACGTAACCTAGGGCCATTCCGAAGGGTACACCCACGCGACCATGCGGCTTTCATCTACGAGCTGCCATGTAGGACCATTTGAAATCGCGATCCGATCGTCGAGGAGGAAAAATACACGTCCACCTGCTATTTGTTTGTCACACTTGTCTAATAGCCATTGTGACAGATATTTCAATCCAAAAAAAATCACATCTCGCGGCGCTCATTCAGGGAAGAATGTTCGCCATTGAATACCGGTCTCATTTTTTTTTTACTCGATATTTGTAAATATTTGTTGTCAAACTAGATATTGCAACGTCCGTAGGTTCGCGTTTAGAATATTGCGAAATTATTGCGAATAGGCGGGTAGTCTGAGAGAACGATTACGTTAATTGTTGTGTAATTACATTAATTTGGCATATCGACATTCTGGGATATTAACGTAGAGACTAAAACAGCACTTTTTGCAAAATGGGTGATATGTCGTTTTGCTCTCCTTCGCACAAGGAGAAGCCGTGCACGTTTCTCAAATAACCAGCTTAAAGATATTTAATAGTAAAATGCCGTTAGTATGGCTTACACGGCTTTGGTGATTTGAATCTTGTTATGGTATCGGTAACGATTAACCGAAGGACGGATAGCTTGCGGCGCGGTTAAAGTAATTGTTTCAAATAGTCGTCACATTCGCTAAAACAGATTCAATACGAATATACAGTAAATAATGTTTCAGGAAAAGTCGCAATTTCTTCTAATAGAAGTGTTATTACATACTCGGTGGGTTTTTTACAATTGTAGAGTTACCGTTTGTTGTATTGAACGTTTATTGGCATATGTTCAACGAGAGTTTTTTTTTTCGTTCTTCTTCTATCTACATATTAGCAATGAATCCTCTTCTGTGTTTTCTTCAGATTATCTTCCTGGCATTACGATCGGCTGCCTTTCGAACGATGTCTGGTTTTTAGCCTTTCTAATGTAGCAGCTTAGCTTTTAAAAATGAAAGAAAGAAGGAGAATGTGCGTATTAAACATCCGACGTAGTGTTACAGTTTTCAATGTTGAAACTGAAACCGTCCCGAGAAATGCAAGGAAGAAAAGAACGACCTCTTTACCCTAATTGAAGAGGTGTAATTTAATTTCGACACCGAAGGCCGAGTTCAATTCATGGTCACTTGGGGAAGCGCAGTGGATGGGGTTTAATCCAACAATACGAAGCATCGAAGTTCAAGAGTAAATCTCGTTAACGAAATTTCCCAGTCGGCATTTTTCTTCTCAAATACTCGAAATGGAGTTAACGTTAATTACATTCACGTTGTTCTGAACATTTTTACAGGTGTAAAGAGAATTATCTTGAGAGCACTCGTGTTGGATGGATGAATAATGGAAAAACTCATGTTAGATAAATATATAGTTGCATGTCATGTGTCGACTGTTACATTATCCTTTCTTCCTGTATCCTTCTGAGGCGTTATCGATGAACGTAAACATGTACTGTATTTTCTTGGATATTCCTCACCAGCTGATTATGCGGAGGAGGTATCACTTTTAACCGCTGATTATCACGTGATTGTCTTTCCGGATTTTTCAATTGATATTGATTACGTCGCCGGTGTCACTTGTCACTCGTGTAAAACAATCCGCCACGGTCCATTACCTGAATTCTGGATATTGCGTTACCTCTAAGTGTCGCGATTCCTGTTTCTACCAGAATTCTCACGATCGCGTTACCTGCAAAAAAGATGCGATTCATGTGTTATTTAATTGTTGAACAACTGAACTTTATATATGTTTAAAGTAGAAGAGGAGACGAGTAGATTTATTTAAAAGGCAGATATTTCAAGCGCTCATAAATTTGAACTTGTTAATTTTTCGCACAACGTGTAGTGTTTGTTATTACATAATTATCTACATTTCAGGAAAGATCGGATTGTTTTATCTGATCTTCTACGGAGTCCTGGCAGCTCTGGTGGCGATATGTTTTTGGGGATTCTTCCAAACTTTGGACCCGAGGATACCAACGTGGCAGCTGGAGCGGTCTATAATCGGAACCAATCCTGGTAAGGATAATTAATAATAAAAACTATCCGTTTGATGCGTTTATTTATGAGTTATCCTCACCTCTCGCTTCTTCCCTTTGTAAACTTTTTCTAGGTTTGGGATTTCGGCCGATGCCACCCAGCGAAAACGTGGAGAGTACTCTGATTTGGTACAAAGGGACCGATCGGGAGAATTTCAGGCATTGGGTGCAATCTTTGGAACAATTTCTTGAAGGTAAGAGATCCACCGTCCGTTGATTCCTCTACAGGTTCAAATTTCAGAAAGCTTCTTCCGTGCATTTGCTTAATATATTTATTTTATTCCTTGCCACAGTGTACCGAAAACCTGGTTTAACGCCCGGTCGGGGAGCGAATATACACAACTGCGACTACAACCAGCTGCCGGCTCCAGGGCAAGTTTGCGACGTGGACGTGAAAAATTGGCATCCATGTATAATGGAAAACAGTTTCAATTACCACAGATCAGCTCCGTGTGTCTTCCTCAAGCTTAACAAGGTACATCCTTAATACTGATAGGTGAAGCACGAGATAAACGCGTTATCAGTTAATATTACTACGGTAGGAGATAGATCGCAATGTTAATGGTATGTAGCAGGGTTGAGATGACTTAAACCGTTTGACTAAGATCATCGATTTTATTTCCAAAAAAGAGTGACGATTTTTATGAACCCTGACACTGATTTAACCTAATCTTCGGAACGAGGTGTTTATTTCAGTAATTAAATTAATTCTAGAAATCCCTCTTTAAATCAACGATTTTTTATTCCTTACAAGAGATCATTATTTTTATCAACTCTGGCATACTGGCTGATAATATCATTTCAATTAACAGATTTACGGCTGGAGGCCAGATTTCTACAACGACACCAAGACTTTACCCGACAACATGCCGCGAGAGCTGAAAGAGCACATTGCCGGTCTCAAGGTGAAAGACCCTCGTCAGTTGAACACGATCTGGGTATCCTGCGAGGGCGAGAATCCTGCCGATCAGGAGAACATCGGCCCTGTCAATATTTTACCACGTAGAGGCTTTCCTGGGTACTTTTACCCCTACGAGAACTCGGAGGGTTACCTGAGTCCCCTCGTGGCGGTGCATTTCGAAAGGCCACGACGTGAGTATAGAATTCCTTTCCATCGGTTCAATAGACCCCTCTTCCTTTCACCATGTAGATTTCCTCACTAAAACAACAACGCTATGTCGCGAAAAACATTTCATTAATTTAAGGAAAATAATTTCTTTGAATAATGCTCATTCGGATCAAACAACACTGCCTCGATAGAAAGAACCGAAGAAACATTTGTTTTTCGTTCAAAGAAATGATAATCTACGAATCTCTTTCAAACTAACGTGTTTAGTTCCAACAGATGACTCGGTGGAATATTTTATTCGATCTATTGAATGAAATCGTTCCCTCGGGGTGAAAGCATATTTTATTTCATTGAACCGTGAAAATAAACCGTCTCGGAATAAAAAAGTTTTTTTTTTTCTTTCAAGGAAATCATTTCTTCAAATGGAATTAAAGGAATGAGCATTCGATCGATGTAATGTATCGGACAGTTAAACATTTGGCATTTTGTAGGGAAGACTTTTATTTTTTGGATACAGTTTCTTTAGCCCCATTCGGAGAAATAATTTTTCCTCAAAAGGGGATAACCTTTTTCCTCCGTGTACAAAGGATGTGCGATGTTTATATTTGTTCCCTTTTTAGGCGGGATCCTGATAAACGTCGAATGCAAGGCGTGGGCTCACAACATCAAGCACAGCCGCCATGACAAGCTGGGAGCTGTACACTTCGAACTTCTGATAGATTAGAGGATGTCCGCTTGTCGCGCTAGTTACCCGGAAAATTCTAAGTTATTGTCGACGCTTCGTCGATCGAGCACGGACCAAGAAACGCGGCGATTGTTAGGTGCGAAGGGTTTCGAGAGAAATCGTCAGGTCGCGAGGGTCCTGTCGGCATGAAATATCGGTGTCTACGCGGACTGAGTTAGCGAGCGCGTCGGTTCTTCGGGAACTAAGCGAGATTAGTTTCAGGGACGACGCGGTCGAGTTTAGTAGTTTGTCGAGGTATAAAATTACGAATCCGTACGATCTGAACTGAGTCCCGTTCGTCCCGGGATTCGCGATGAACGCCCGAGACGACGGACCGGATGAAATACTCTCTTTATCTCTGTTTGTCAAGTTCTCTCTCTTTGTCTGCATGTCCACGCGATTGGCGTTAAATCTTCACGTGATCATCCCTGATATTATCGAACTCGGGTGAGAAAGCTTGGCGAATGCACGAGGATCAACTGCCAGGCCGGAAATGGGCATCGGGGATTAGGATATAAATTTTCACACGAATTTTCACGCGATGTCGGTGCTGAATGTATGTTCTATCGTTCGGTCGCTAGGTTTCCTCTGGTAAATGCAATGTTTTCACGAACAGGATGCATTTAACGAAAGATTGGAATTTGCCCATTCCCGGTTATTATCTAAAAAGGGATCGGTAGTCTTATAATCGCATGATACGAGATACCGTGCTTTCCTCGTCCTTTCAAGTACAAAAGGTATATTTACACCACTTCCCGTGAGTGTTCATTTAAGTGTAACGCGGCGAGTTCCGTATTTACACGTCGTTGAATCTCTCGCGCTAGATTTCGAGTAGCCAGGGAGACGCAATCGATCGTTTGTCTCTAGTAAAATGCGGGAAAAAAAGGGGGGGGAAAAAAAGGAGAAGCGCGCGCGAGCCGTCAGGACGATTTCTGCCATTACTTTCCGAGGCTTCTCATAATGAGGATTTTCATGGCGAGGTCGCGCGCCCCATCGGGAAAATAGATCTCGTCAGGTAAGAAGTATATAATATATATTTTCATCCCATCGTATATATGTATATTTTCAGATGACTTTTAGCGCGAGTGCATTCCGAGCCTTTCCGGGCTTCACGTGACCACGCATGTGTCCACGATTGCATAGAGAAATGGGGAAACGCGGTCTTCCTCGGCACTTATGCATATATTTCTACATATTTATAAAATACATCTATAGAAAATATCTATAAATGCCGTGCAAGGTGACACGAAAGTGGCATCTGAAAGGTCTGTGAAACTTTTCTACAGCATGAGAATACCGAATTTGAAGTTTTACCATGCTAATGTATAGGTCCCTAGGAACGACCCGACACCTATGAAATTTCAATTTCACGACAGAATTGAAAAATGCGCGGTAACAAATTTACAGAGAAGGAAATTTAGTTTCGTCGATGTTAGGACCTTTGAAGCCGACATATCCACGCGGTGGAATTTCTAGCGATTCGGTACACCCAGCTGGGAGAAAAGTTTCATAAGCGAGACCCCTCGGACGGCATTTTCATATCGCCCTGAAAGGGACCGCGAGAAACGTTCGTCCAGTCGTGATTTCTTCATTTTTCACATAAAGTGTTGAAGCGACACGTTCGAAAGCGAACTGCCTTTTCTAGTAGCGTAAGACGTAGTATTTGATGTATTCTCGGCGAAATCTACGCGTCTTATCCCTGAACTATGGGTTGCACGCTTTGTCGAGAGATTTCCTGCAAGTCGGTTTTCGGCTCTGCTCGCGCGCATTTAAAGGATTCGTAGATTCAGTCTACGGCGTTACTCGTTTAGTGTATCACGCGCATCATTCCCACCTCTCCTTAAAACTACTATTTGTATAGTGATTAAGTTGTACACATTTATGATCGATAGTTTTACTGTACACCGCTGCATATCGTAATATATATATATATATATATGCATATATAATCCGACTCCGTGCGCGGACGTTTGTGCCTTACGTTTGTTTTAGAAGCGATCTAAATCTCGTTCGTAAAGGACGCCGAATAAATGTCGGCCACGCGGGATCAGCTGTATCGACAGTGCCTTATTATCGATGCTACCGATAATAATTTTCGCAATTAGTCCGGTCAATTTTTAGCGGCATACACAGTTGTTAACGGAGCAGCAGTATTTTTGTAAAGAGGATCGCACTCGGATGCGAGTGCGTCTTACTCTCGGAGGAATAGACCAAGCAAAATAAACACATTTCCACTAATTCGAACGTTTTCCCCTTAACTTTGTTAAATTCTCCCTTTAGTTATCAGTTTACATTAGCGAAGGTGGTAAAATGATCTAGTCTTGTACGACTTTGCCCCATTAATGTCGCGTAATAATTTAATTCAGTTTTCTCTATTGATTAAATCCCTGCTTGTGAGTGTTTACAAATGGTCTGAAGTCATTTCAACTCTTAATTGAGATGAAAAAGGAGGAGGGGTTAATTTACGCTAAGTGGAGGACTGTCGTTTAAATCGTATTCCGTCATCCTGTGTAAAAATGTTATTCATGCATAAATAAGGTAAGTGAAGGGTAAAGTCAAAAAGGGCGCCACGAGTGATTCCTTACCCTCAAAAGCGAGCAGTGTCGGTAAGCGTAGGTAAGCCACCACCGTCAACTGCCGCGTGGTATTGCCATCACGAGTACTTCAGCCGCCAACGGCGACTGGTAGATGGTACCGCCATCGCGAGTGCGCGAGCTCCTAATAGAAATTCGTTGCGCCGCCCTTGGGGGCAAAAAACGGTGAAAGCTTATCTACGAAACCAGAGGGCAGCACAGGATGCGATCACACGATCCTGCCCGTTAGCAATCTCCCAATTCATCTCTGTGACCGTAGCGACGAAAGTGAGTCTTATTCTATAATTTGTCGAAACTAATTGTAGTTCATTTAAGGCAAAAAAATTTCCTAGCCATGGATAAATTTTATTTGGTTGCCATCACGTCGTTTTGTGTTATGGAAATTAATTTCTTTATACCTTCAAGAAGATGCGGCTTTTGCAAAATATTGCTTTTTTCTTTTTAAACCCTTCAGGGGCTCTTGGAATATTAAGTATTGTAACAGAAAACATCTTCGCTACACGTCGTCACATCAATCGCGGTACTTCCAACGAATTGGTCGATTGATATCAATCGTTATTCTTATTACCAGAGATTGCTCATCTCTGTATTGTTATTACGTATAACACATCAAACGCTACTGCATGTATTAAAACCAACTCGTTAAGGGCTAGTTGACTTAAACTATCTATGGTTAAAAAATGTCCCCGAAAACGCTTCTGGGTGGGTCGCATAAAGTTTTCCTCTTTCATGGCTAAACCGACCGCGCGGCCGGTAAGTACAGATTCGGTTAAATTACATGTACACGAGTCGAGTAACATAATCGAGATATGCCATGTATGTATTTTCATGCACGCTTAAAATTACCATGTATATATACGTATAAATACGAATGAACGTTTGAAGTTACGGCACGTGCTAGCTGCGTCGGAATTGGGAAAACGATCGCGGGTTTAATGACTCGTCGATGATTCTTTTTAGTGATTTTAAACGAGCGCATCATCACAGACCGTCATGGGAGCAGATCCGACACGCGGTAATTTAACAAGAAAGTATTACGTAAGCAAAACGGATTTTTCGGTAAGCCTTGCGGCGGCAAAATGACCCCGTGAATTTCTTTTTGGTTACCTAATATTAACAGTACATTCTCATTTCCAGGATTCTCTGTGTCATTCACACCTGACAAGAAAACAATCAAATGCAAACATTCGGTTGGATTCTTTCCTACATTTGAGAGGAATCTTGTAGTACAAATTTTATATAGACTATTTGGCAGTATTTAACGTGCAAGGTTTCAACGTCACATCCTTTGTTCTTGATAAATTTTGACTGATGAATCTTATGAGTTATATAGAAACGAAAAAGATAAGTGTAGCGAAGACCAAAACGTACGAATTGTCATTTTCTAAGGCCCTATCCTTTCCTTTACTACTTATCACTTGTGACTGATAAAATTGTGCGTTCATTATGTCGGTTTAACCTTATAAAAATATAGCAGTTTCGGATTTGTTAAGAAAAATATATCTTTCTTTTATATATTCAGAGCAGTTTAAGTGTACGCAAGTCGTATTGGACTTCCCATGGCACGACTTTAAGCTTACGTGTGACTTTAACACCTATTCTATCGAAATCTAATACGATACATTTCTTCGTAATAAATTAACATTGAACAATAGACTTTTCCATAATGTATCTATAAGACGGCAGAAATACTTGTCAAATCTTGGCTCATCCGACAAATCCGACAAATAGAATCGCAAGAGAACGTCCGAAATTCTTCACGTCGCAATCTCACGTCCCAACGATCAAACCTGATGGGCGACCATTCGGGCCTGAAATTACGAGCACGATTAGCAGTAATTATACAAACTATAATACAATTCAGTGTCGTCACTGCGTACTGTACATTGACCGAGTAACTTACTATCTCTCTATAATCTGTCCTTACGTAATCAAGAGACAAGCTAGAAACGAATTTCTACCCGCCGAGTCTCGCCGAGAGACCGACTCATTTTGTACGTAGAACATTTAACGCTTAAAGGCAACCGTGAACGCGAGTAATCCTTCCTAAACATTCTCCCTCCTCGAAGGATGGCGTTATCGTGAAACCGAAAAGCTTGTCATGCGACTATCTAAAATTACTCCAAGGAAGGGAGTGTCGCTCCGTCGCAAATATCCCTATAATTTCTCCTGGTGCTTTTTCCCTCTCCGATGGGCAAGGGATCAGACGGCTCGATATCGATCACTCCTTTTACCGTCTTTTCGTAATTTCCTCCGCGAATTATCACTCGTCCTACTAAGTATAGCCACGATGATTAAGAAGTACTCGTGCAAGAGATCGGCCAGACACGACGACGCCTTTTAATCGTCTATCATCAGTTCGAAGTGAATCGCGCCTTTTTTCTCCATCTTGATGTTGCTGTAGACGATGTTCTTCGCCCAGGCTCGACACTCCACGTTGATTATTACGCTTCCTGGAACAAGAATATGCGTTATCTAACGAGTCCGGTGGTTATCATTCACCTGTACCGTAAACCATCGCGTTGCACAACGGCTGTTGATACTGAATAAATGAAACATCAAGTAATTCCCAGGTAAGTGTTAATAATTGTTCTTCTTTGTTAGGCACAGTCAAACGAGACACCTCGAGGACGTTATTCAAATTGCTAGACTGACTCTGGCAAATTCAAAGTTAACTTTACAAGGATATTTCGTGAAACTGTTCCTGTCCCTGGCGTTTAAGCATGAGAAGGATAATACATTCCGCGGTTAATCAATAAATAAGAATTACTTACTCTTGGGTCGAAGGAAGTGAACGGCTACAATGGGACTGAGGTATCCCGGCGTATTTACATACGGATAATAGAAACTAGGGAACCCTTGGCTTTTTGGATAGTATTCCAGTTCTCCGATGACTTCTCTGTCATGTGGGTTTTCACCTTGGCAAGACACCCATATCGTGTTCAGCTGTGAATAAAAAAAAACAGATATGTCAAACAGAGAATTCCCCAGCGACGTGGATCAGCGAAATCGACGCGTTGTGCGGTATAAAAATGAAAGAATAATTTAATGGATGGAGATTTCAAATACAGAGTCGAAGTCGACCAAGCTCTGTCGATCGGGCATCTCGATCGTTACGGTACCATTGTCAAAAGTTTATGTTAAATCAATAAATTAGAAATTGTTTTGATAACTCTGCCGTGCATGCGTAGCGTGGTAACGTTATCATTCAGAGGTATTTGCTCGCGATAGATAAGCAGTTTTTCCACTCGACGCGGAAATACTGTAGATGCCAGAAAAGTATTAAGCCACTTTGACGATTCAACTTCTTATTTGTACCGCGTGCGAGACAATGCGTACTTTTCCATCGCCATTCATATTCATTTACCGCTGCATGGAGTTAATCGTAAACACGTCACGTATTTATTCACGGCAATTTCATTTTAACAGTCTCGTTACGCAACTCGTGAAAGTATTGGCAAGAAATGTCATCGGTTAAATCATGATCCGATCTTCTCCCCGCACATTTATCCACGGATTATCAACACTCACTCACAGGGATAATAAAAAGACTCTAGCGTGTATCTCCTTCGACACAAGTTTACCGCAAAGTGTCGTTTCTCTTTGACGAGTACTCTACAAGGAATTTAACCAATGTATCCCAAATGGATAAAGAAAGTCATCATACGAGCGGAAATTGACGAACCGCTGTATCAATTTTCGATTTTCTTCCTACCAACGACGAACGTGACTTCGGCGAATTCAAAGACAATGGAAGAATGTGGTTCGATCGATTCCTTTGTACGTCAATTCGGATGAACGTCATGACTATCTTACCCATGATTTATCAGCCGTCTGAATGTGCCTTACGAGGCTCTCGGGCATTTCGCTCGGCAAGTCTTTACTATCGTTGTAACAATCCGGCTCCCATCCGTATATCTGGAAAGAGAGAGCGTTTAGATCTGGGTCCTCGTTATTCAATAAAAGCGAAATACACCTGGGATTTTCAAAATCACCATACTCGACTCACCCGATTCAACTTGACGAAGACACAGGGCGCGGAGTTGTTGTAGCCATACCCTTCCTGAGGAGAACAAGGGCCCCAGTCGTTAACATTTACTGCACAAACGTTTCCGGGTTTTGCCGCCTGTGTGTAGCTGCAGATCTGTTGGTTGCGACCACCGGTCGGTAGCCGGGTAGAATTTATATAATCTACGGGAAGAAAACAAGATACAAATGTCTGTCAAATGCCCATAAAAAAGAATCGGGAACAAAACGTGTTCTCTCCTTTTGGCCACGGTCAGAGATACGCCTACATACAGGGTGGCGCGTTTCGCAATTTGCTCGCTTGGCGGACCATATTTTACAATAAAATTGCACAATTTCGGACATTAGGAGCAGTCACCAGATATCGAAGTATTTGATAACTCGAATTCACAAAGGATAACCAAAACGGATGTCCGTTCGCATCTATGGATTGTGCCGGACTAATCAAGAGCCAATGACTAACCGCTGAGAAAGGTGTCCAGAAATCCCGTCCACCTCTGTACTTGGGTAGCGTTGGAGGCGCTGTACCATATCAGGGCTCCCTCTTTTTCGTTGTCGGATACCGGCCGGAAGCCCAGACCTGGAAAATATCAACAGCTGATTAATAATGAGAATTCAAGGGACGGGAAACGGCCATCGACGACACGTATAAGTACGCGTCCGTGTATGTACAGAAACGGACGTCTCGGTGGCTCGGTAATGCCTTCGACGGTCGGCCAATTGGTCCGAGTGAGCGGTCAGCTTCCACGGGTCAAAGTCCATTGGTCAACGGTCTTATTGCATTACTGTGCTTTGAGAACACGAGGGTCGAACGCTAACCAGCCGATGAATTAATGCCCTAGCGCCTGTTATCCGTTCTCGATACTCGCGAAATCGAGGAGACCTCATAATCGAAAAGAATTTCCATAATTTTCCGACATGAAAAAAAGTTTTTGACGAAGGGTAAACACAAGCCCTACTCCACGCTCAGCGGCGTCACGGAGAAATGTTACTTGTCGATTGTCTAATTACAGAAAATAAATAAATAAACGTCAACCGTCTTGCTTGACATTTTACCACGTGAAAAAGGAGGCCTTGGGGAAGGTCTTGCCAGACAAAAAATTTCATTTTGCTAATAAGAATTTAAGAAATTTGTATGAACAATATTTAAGAGAAATGAAATATACTGGCGCGTTTGGAAATATTAAAGCGTTTCAAAGGCGTATTTTTTTACGTGAATTTTGCGGTCCGATTGAAGATTCGACTCTGCGGACTTCGTTTTTCTTTGGAGGGAAGCCTTAGCTGCATCTGATGAATTATGGCATATATATAGGTGCACTATAATGCAGATTCTATTAAATAGGAAGATTCGGTAGAAATGCAGCGAATGAAAATAGAATTTATATAAGACGCTGTGAACGGAATCAGAGATTCAGCAGGTATATTCGTGGCTTCATCGCGATTGGAAATCTTATTCTGGATGTCACGATTGACCCTTGCCATGTGCTTCGTTCAGGCTTCCCAATCATTTTAATGAAGCGTATTAAATCCGTAGGGCTCATTTCACATCTCCCGACCTAAGATTCCCTTCTGAACAGATCTCGAGTGAATTGAGACAGTCGAGTCTCTCATCATCCTAGGTGTTACTTTCCTTCCTTTTAAATTTCCCGCGTTTCATCTCAGCAGTGGCATTCGGTGCTCGGGGTATCAATTCAACTGCTGATAGTGCGGAACCTTGACATTGAGTCATGTACTTCAAGTGCACTTCCGAGTGCCTGCAAATCATAAGGCCGCGATCCTCTTTTCTGCCGCAGGACTGCGGTTTAATAATAATAAAAAAAAAATCAAATATAGAGCAAAACTTGATCTCACATTCCTAATTAAATATTTCTTGATAATCGAACTCGCCCACCTGGATTAGTCCCTATGATGCTGCTGTCGAGGATCCATCTGGGTTTCTCCTCGTTGAGAGTTGCCAGGAGTCCCTTCATGCATATCGCGAAGAAGACGGCCAGGCAGCTGAAGAACACGCAGTAAAAAACGGCCGTGATACCTGAAAGAAAAAAAGAAATAATAAGAATTTGCAAGCGTCGGTCGCGAATCGCGAGGCGAGCGAGGCCACTTCGTCCTCGTTCGAGAAATGCATTTTGTTGCTCTCAAAATGCAAACGATTAAGGTGATCTAAAAGTGGTATCCGAGGGACCGATCGTTTATGACAATTGTTTTTGGCGAGCTGTACCGAACCGTTAAAAATTTTACTACGTCAATATGGAAGTCCTAAAGAAGGTCCGGATACCCGCGAAATTGCATTAAAAGAATGTCTTTTAAAAATGTCTATAAGGAAATTAAAAGGATTAAATGTTATGGATGGCAGGACCTTCTTTAGGGCCGCTGTATTTATGAGGTGAAGTTTCAAACAATCCAGTATATTCAGCTTGCAGAAAAGTTTCATAAATGATTGGTTTCTCGGACCCCACTTTCGTATCACCCTTAAGGCGCGTCTTTCACGGATTCTCAAGGATTTCTCTCCAAGCCTTCTCGGAAATCGTTTCGTGGCGAAATTTTACGTGGGTTTTGCGGTTGAACTCGAAATATTTAAGGTTCGGGCAGTACGCCAGTGCCTCCCCTAAATATAGACGCTTGTTTAAGAGTCTAAACCGCGAGGAGTAGACTCGAGCGTCATTATCATTCGTCATTATCGGTCCGAAGGAGTCTCAGCATCGCATGAAAGATACGTACTAAACGTTTTCTACATTCCTACCAACTGTGCCGATATCTTACAATGTCACGAGACCCTGAAAACGCAGCTCTACGTATGCATAAAAAGGAACCAAGAGTTCTGAAAACGCGAAAATATCCACTCTCAGAAAAAGAATTCGTAGTCATAACAAGAAATTTTACTTGCTGCGACAAACGTCAATCCTTGAAAATGGGTCAGCCACATTTTTGCCCAGAAACATTTTTGTTACATTGACAACAAAAAAAAACGATTACTTTATAGGGCAACACAAATTCCAGTCATATTTGCAATATTATTTTTAAGCAACAACAAACTATGGATCGCTCATTCGTTTGAGTCGGGACGATAATATTTTTCGAGGTTCGTATTTTTTGGTATACAAATTTTTTTTATCTAGAAAAATATACAACTCTGTCGGGAGTTATTTATTGCACGAATTTCGTATTAATTTCGGAGAATGGCTGCAATTTTTCGGTGGCCAACTGAAATTCTGGAAATTTTTTAATAATCTCTAATATTTCCAGATCCTTGCCGATTTTCTGGCAAGTTTTATATTTATTTGACTCACGACCCAGGAATGGGAGAGTTAATTCATTATCGAGCAGCTCACTCGCATTTCTGGCTTATGTAAGAGATTTTCGAATGATAACCTGCCAGAATATCGCACGAGTCTCTTATTTATCTTCACGATTTTGTCATAAGATCTTGTAGTTACTTGACCTTTATCGCTATGAGAAAAAAAAAGTTTCTCATTCCTCTGCGCTGAAAAGTGATCCTAAATAATACTTTAAGACGAAATAATAATCACGCTCGTGTCTTTGCCGACTTAAAAATACGCTTCCCAGTGAGTACAAATCTACTACCGAATTGATACAACTGTCGTCGTAAAATTGCGCAACCATTATTTTTATCTAGGGAGATATTCTTAATTCCCAACAATAATTTTTCTCACGGTTTCGTCAAAGAATCCTACGCCCCAATTTTGCCAGTAAAACCGTTCGCTGCCAAAAACATACGGAGTGCTAAAAATACGAATCGCCTCCGCCTTACTTCACGGATCTTCGCAAACTTCCTGGACGCGATAATTATAACAAGTTGGTCCTCGCGAACATTTTTCAAAATGCAAAATAGCTCCCAATTATTTGAAAATCTCGAACCGGACACTTATTATCCACTATGATTGGAATATTTCTTTCTAGCGACAACAAATTGTATATCGCTCATTTGATCGAGCAGTGACAATGATATTCCTTTTCGCTGTTACTACAAATTCATTTGTTAATTTAGCAAAAACGGTATCTCCAATGGTTGCATCTACGCTCGATATAATTGCAAAGATTTTATATAATGTTACGATTATTCTTACAGTAAGGGCAAAACTTTATCGCTAATACTCCTTTGCTAAAGGTGTAGATGTCTTTTTTCCCGTGCAGAAAGCAAAAATAATCTGGCTCTAAAAAACATCCCGTGCACAGTTCCACCAATTTAAATGATTTATTTATTGTGAGTTAATTTCGCAGAAGTGATTCCAAATGTTTAGACTGTCGTTCAGAGAGAATCTGAGACGAGATTATCCGAGTCCTCTGAGACTTATCATCTCGTCAGAGCTTAGTGTTAAATATTTTCAAAATATAGCCCTCAAGGCTGTCTGAAGAAAAAAAATGTCGCAGTATGTTATCGTAATTTAAAAAAAATATCTTTTTGCAAACTGCAGTAGTTTAGCAAGGAGTTATAATTTGGAACTGATCTCTTCTGTTGTGTAACTATTAAATTTGTTCGTTAATGTAGACACTGGTATTCCTTCAGCCGCGAGTGTGAGACGTTCGATCGGGAATTGATTATTTTCGTTTCTCGCTGGTTCTTAACCTCGCCTTCAAGGATACATACTCGATTCCGTAATCCGAAAGACGGATCAGAACTAGGTCGTGCGTTTCCACTAAAAGGGGATCTACCGATGAGGGCCATATGTGACGTTGACGTGTTATCGACCATTATCATTAACGGAGCTCCGATGACGTCTACGACGAATAGGCGTTGGCTCTCGTTCTCCTTTTGTGATTTCCTCTTCTCGATTAAATTACCAACGGATGAGAAATCCGCTAATCACTGATTCAAAACGATTTAATAGAAAGATTTTTGGCCCCCTTTTGGTATTACAAAGAAATTCAACTTAAAATATGAGATGACGAATACATGGTAGATTTTACGGATCGATACTTTCACGAGATACCGAACGACACGTGGACACGGTCTGATAAAAACCAGTAATCCTTTTATCAGTTAAATCATTTTACGTACGAGAAGTGCCCTCAATGATCATCTGCAAGTAATCCCCAGTGACGTCTATCGCAATCAGTCTTATCTAAGTTTATTCATCATTCTGGATATTATCGATGAAAATCTACCAAAATAAGGAGTAAAAAAACTCGCCCACTGCTTTACAAATTATTGACAATGGTGTAAAATATTAAACTGGTGCAAGAAAACATCGCGATTTTCACCCGATGTCAGTGCTTAAAAGTCGTATTTTTATACCGACCTAATAAATTAATCTAATTTTTCGCATACTTTCGAATTTTCTTCTAGTATGTGATTGATATTCTTAACTCTAGCATCTACCTTCGATTAATTATTGTACGGTCATACATCTCTTCCTCCTTATTACTTAGATTTTAATTATCATTCCTGCAGATTTCGGAGCAATTATATATGTAACAGAAAAAATTATCATCATTCTTGGGTGACATCGAGAAGAAGCGGAACATTCCCACGTCCCCTTCCTGGGATTCGTATCCGTTTGTCGCGTCGACACTCGAATCATTATTGCTCTTTAAATGAAATTCTGTAACATTATCGCCCTTAAATGAAATGCTGTAACATTATCGCCCTTAAATGAAATGCTGTAACGTAAATCGAGAAGCGATGCGAAGGCTTCGAAGGCACGAGGAACTCGCGTGGTTCTCCTTCGAAGAAGCGAACAGGAAACATTTGACACGTCACGTGTGCCGATACCCGAGGAGGAAGCCGAGGTCCAGAGAAGGCGAGATCAGGCCTTGTTCAAGGCCGATTATCTTCTGAAAAGAAGAAAGCCAATTCCTGATTTTCAATCAAGAATAATGGTCCTTTTTACCCTTTCGCGATGTTCACTTTTCTGCAAATTCTCCGCTTTAATTATTAAGTACACATTTGTACTATCCGTATGAATCCACGTTCGAGTGAACATGTTACACTTAAAAAGAAACAAAAAAAAATGCATTAAACCAATGAAATATTTCTTTGAACAGTACCAAATATATCGTTACTCCGAAGAATAATTATTTGACTCGAATAAACTGAAATAAATTGTCGCAATTCGTCGATAAAAATTATTTATCTTGCATGCCTGACGTGTCGGTTTTCCCCATACGTGCATCGAAGCTGTCGCCCACTTTTTGGACCTCTTTAAACCCCATCCAACGATAAAAACCGAGTTCCCTCAGCTCCAGCCAGCTTATCATTCATAAAAATGACGAACGAAACGTTTGAACTGTAACGTCCCTCCCAGGCAGCTTACTCATCGAGGACTATTACCCATTTGAAAAACTTTTGTCACCCCACTTCCCGCAGATTGAATTATTTCAAAGCGCTCGATCATTTTTTTCCTGAAGTTTGCAATTTCAAATGTCGAGGCGTTATCAGTAAAATGTGCTCGTGGCGTCGCGTTTTCCTCCTCGATGGCAAATGGACTCGACGGGAATAAAACATTCGCACCGCCATGGAGGTTACACGTTTCCGCTCCCGGCGACACTTATTAATCAGTTTAATTATTTGGTCATTCCCACGCACCTCGCGTGTCAGAGAGCTGCGAGAAATATCGCGACCACGTGGCCGCACCATAGATCGGCGTGTACACCGACGAGCGTTAACTCTTAAATGGCGCAATGACACTTTTAGGTGCGTCCTTTAAAATTTCACGCGCGTTCATTACGGAGCGCCCGACAGCCGTTCGCCTTCGCGCGTACCGTGACCTGGATGTATTTTCGTATCTCGTGACGTTACTCGGGAAGTTCGTCAAGTGCGTGCACGCGATATCAAAAATATCGGGCCTGGAAGAAAGTTACTTCGAGGTCCTACCGAGATAACAAAGAGCGCCGTGAGGAGCGTCAAAGTCTGCGAAGTCGGCCCTGGGACCTTATTCTCGACTTTATACGATATTTACCAAATTAAAGTATCGAACATTGACGTTAAATATTCGGTGCCGTTCGCGCATCCTATTTAATGTATTTGGAGCGAAACTCCACTGAGTTTCTGGATCAACTTTCGTATGCGAAATTGACACTTTCATCTCAACCTTGACCAATAACGCGACGTCGCAACAATGCACAATTTTTCATGCGAATCTATTTGTACGTGAAAAAATCCCGTGGTGGTAAATATCGAAAGGAAATTCTGTAAATGATTCCATAAAATCTGAGAGTTCTCGACATTCTTTTTCTTCCATTCCGGGTCTGTAAGGACGCGGATGTAATAATGTGATATTATTCCAAGGGAGAATAAAACGGATGAAGGAACTTTATTTGAGATCCAAGCATTATATTCATTTGAAAGAAAGTTAATTCACGGTGTAAGGAGTGAAGCATGTAATAATGGAATGTATTACTAACGAATGAAATAATGAAGTGGCACAGCCAACGCCGAATAAGTTATTTGGCCCTAGGACTCGCGAGTTCCACTTTCATCAAGCTTATGACACTAAATATTGACGTTTTTCTTTTTCTCTTCGATTTCGAATCTGTAACCGTGGGACTGAAACATCATAGAATTATTCCAGAAGCAAATAAAGTGCATTCATCGAATTGATTCGATAACACTAGCCTAATATCAATTTGAAATTTAATTCGAGGTCGAACGACTCTCACGAAAATGAAAAAGCGTAGCCAACGCTGATTAAGTCATACGGCCCTTGAAATTTCCAAGGTCCACTATGTCTATTTGACATTTACAGCGATATCCGCGGTGCTTATTAAATGTCGAGAAAAAATTCTTCAAGGAATTCCACACAGCCGAGGAATACATGACACCGTCTCGGTCCTTTCCTTCGCCATCCCAGTTCCTTCGCAGCCCTGAAACCGCACGGCCATAAACGTCCATTCGGTCCTCTAGCCTACTGTCGAATTGTTAACCTTCATTATTATAAATTGTCTCCGCGCAAAGCTTGCCACTAAATGGAAGTAACTCCGTAATTCGCTAACGAGAACACCGATCGGGACATCCGGTCTTCGAGGCCGTTATCGTACTTTCGGCGTCTTCCTAATCGTTTTCCTTCTCAGCCTCCGGATTCCTTGAAAAGATTAACCCGTATTACCGGACACGCACCTACGCACGAAGCTTCGAACCAGAAGAATTGAGATATTTAATTATCGCATCCGTATCTACTTTGGAAATAACGTTATAATTCCGAGTTCAGGAAAGAATGACGTTACTACTCGAGAGACCTCGAAATCAACATTTTCAGCTGACCCCTTGAAACGATCCTACACCGTCAAGTGTCTGGAAGGACATTGCATCGCTTGACAATATTCGACAAATGGAGTTTGCATAAAAAAAATTGTGAAACGCAGAACGGAATCTTTCAAAATGACAATATTTCATGCCATTTGGAATGGACGATTATCTCCCGTTTGTGGATAAATCGACCGATGATATTTCTAACATCTGGTTCGAGGAAATCCCGAGTTATTTTTCGAAACCCGGATTTCCGTTGGATCCTTGACTTTTCGCCAATGGCACGTCGGCATCAATGGAAACCACGCAACGCAATTGGCGCGGATAAAGCGTCACGTGTCACGGCTCCGGCAATTCGAGGGTTGAGAGGCGAAGCTGAATTAAATTCATGTGTATTTATTAGAGCACGAGGCTGGTGGGAAAAAAAGAAATTATCGTTGGTGTAAACACAATCATGTACTATACGCCAATATTCGCATGTGGAATTGAACAGTGACGACATTTAAAGCCAAGAATCAATAGAATTTTTTTCGTGAAGAATTTCAGCGAAACGTTGATATTTATTGTAACAAAATATCGGTTTTAAAGATCGAGTTAATCAGTACTTTCGTTAAGAAAGTGATAAAAATAACAAAATAACTGCGAGTTTGTACAGTGTCGCGAGTGGTTTCAGGAGACATTCGGAACGCCGGTTCAAGGCCATGCTGCAGACGGCATTCCGATATTGCTTCTCGCATATTTGCAGGGCTGAAACGCGCACAAGATGGAAATTAAACCGCCTTGTACCGTACCCCTACTTTGTTGGTCGGCCAGAAAATCCACTTCCTTCCCTCACAAGTGCGAAAGCAACCGCCATTTTGGAAGGAAAATTACGAGAAAAAAAGAAACTCGCCGCGTCACGTTAAAAAAAAAAGAACACTCAAGACCAGGCCGTCCCGGTTTTCCGTGCGATCTTATTACCAATCGAGTTTCCAAGAGTGAAGAATACCGCGAACGCGTAATTTTCAGAGCCGAGGACGCCCGATACCGGTATACATAATCTCACTTCAAGGGAAAAAGATTGGAAGAAATAAATGTCTGAAAGGGGAAACGTCGGATGGCACGCGATGGTACTCCGGCGCACCGAGCACCATCCGATGAACCGGACTCGAAGTCCTTGAGAACGTTCACTGAGAGTATTATTAAAATGGAAAAAAAAAAAACGATGGCACGTGGTACGGAGGGCTCCGTTCGTTACCCCATTGCTTGCCGCTGCGGCCGCAGTAGGTCCCCTCCTTCTTGTTGTAGAGTGCGTCCTGCAAGATCTCCCAGCGATTCCTGGAGTCGGGTGCTCGCATGTAATCGTTGAACTCGTAGGTGCCGTTTTTCACCTCCTTGCCGGGGACGCTCATGGCGCCGACGACGAGGGGCGCCGCGAAGAGGTTAGGTCTCGGTCAGCGCTTGGCGCGCGGATCCGTCTCGCGTCGCGGCCGCGCTCTCTCTGACGCGCGAGTGCCGGTGCTCGCTGCTATATCGGTACCTCGGCCGGTGCGCGGAGGTAGAGCACGAGAGAGGACCCAAGATACCGGGAACTCGACGGAAAAGGAGAGAAGGTCCGTCGGCCGCGGACGCCGGGGACTCACTGGCAGTCGTTAGCGGCGGTCGGGCGGCCTCTGCCCCGGATGGGAGAGCGTTCGACGGCGATCGCCGCACTGACCGCGACCGGTCGGCACGCTGCACCGATACCGCTCGCTACCAGCGACCAATCCGATCGCGCGACGTCACGGCCCTTTCCTATCGACGCCCTCGCGGAAGGCATCACGTGCGCGAGGGCCCCGCAAGGACGCGGAGGGGGGCGGACCTCCTCAAGGTCGATCAACGGCCATTTTTCCCTCCCCCTCGACTTGTGAATATCGATGATTTTTGTTACGGGGCTCTGCAATTACCGATCGATAATTCGCCCGGAGTGGTATAATTGAGACGCTTCAACCTGTTGAGTCTATCAAAATGTGCATGAGTATATTTGGCGCGAAACTCTACCGAATTTCCTGATCTATTCCACCTCCGGGTTGTATATTCGAAATCTGTACCGCAGTGTCTGTCTTAAGTTCATCTATTGCCGAGATGGAGTTATTTTCTTCTTGCCCGATTTTGGGTTTCTTCGATTCACTTCCGTCTTCGGACGCCAAGTGGTTTGGGGCTTATTTTTCAGTTTTCGAGTTCTGGGGGTCTCATTTCAAAATGTTCAATTTTTCAACCATTGGCCTGGTATCCAATACACCTCGGTATCAATAAATTCGTTCGCGAAGAAAAAATTTCCTGCGTCATGTGTCAATCAGATTAGCAGCCGATACATACAAGTAGCAATAAGGTTATCATTCCTGTAATTGCAGACGGCAGTTTGGACTCAACCGTGTTTTTATAAATGGAACACCAGAACGAGATTAAGTACTCTGCACGTAGTGATACGTCTTTGTATATTTATATTGGTGACAGATATTTACCTAATACTCGACTTCTTAGATGAACTGTATTCCTGACGCCTTTTTCTGGGATAATTGCAACGTTACGTGTCGTAACGTACGGCTGTTGCAACATTTCGTTGTTAAAACTTAATTAATATCAATCTCTTGAAGGGATCTTGTTAAATTATTGTTACATTTCCTTTGGTTCTCATTGCTCAGTTCCTTCGTCAGGCCAACTGAAAGGGACTGCCGTGAATAGCGGACAAGCATCGTTGAGCTGATAAGTCTAACATGCTGCATATTGCTACTTTGTTGTCCGCAGCTGCTCTTATCAATTCATCGTGACAGCGCGATACCATTGATCGCGACTGTGGGAGGGACTAATTTACAGGGAAGCTCAAGTGAAGTCGTCCTTTGCGATTAGTCGTAACCTGTGTCATTGTGCAGCCTCCAACGGTACTCTCAATTATTATATCGGACTGGCGCAAATGTCGACACCCCCGAAACGCATCAAATTCGTCCCACATCTAAGCCCAAAATTTGTGTCATCCACTACAAGTTAAAGGTAAGGTATAAAACACGTGTATCAAGAACAATTAATTTCTCTAGAATTTCTAGAAAACGCCAGTGCGAATCATAAACTTATAAATTGAAGAAGACAGTACTGCACTATGTGTATATATTCAAATATACGGAAATACGTGTTACGAATCTTTTAATAATCCGTTTAGTTAAGCCGAAGCTATAGCGTGAATGATAAAGAAAAATGGACGAAGAAATTCGTTTCTTTAATGGGAAATTTATCCATTTTGAAGCACCTTTCTTTCACAAAATAGTGAAATACGCATTTAGAAGTACTGTTAAGCGTTTTGCACATTCTAATGTCCGCCATTTCTATAGCAACGGTGATATTGCGACTATTTTACAACTTGCAAAATCAACGTTTCTTACGGATATATATTTAATGTAATATGTAATTACATTATCTTTCCACTAAATTTACGCATAGAATTCGTGCTTTTCACTATTTTGTGTTCATTGAGAAATTGCATAGTAAGAATTTCTGGAAAAGTTTAGAGACGGAAGGTATCTGTCTGTCTGACCAGTACACACTTTTTTCACATGCATTAGCTCGGAGGTTTAAATCACGCTGACATTAGTTTCACTCGGGATTGTTAATTAAGATCTAATTAACGACTGCGAAATATCTCCATTTTCTCTCACAGAAGCGACCATTTTATCTCTCTTGACATATTAATTTGCGCAATTCAAGTGTCCTCCTCCTGCGTATCGCATTAGCGGCACGAGTACCTTTGCGTAGGCAAAAAAGTTTCTTGTATGTGCACGTGGAGATGGAGTATTATGATCACAAGAACAAACAAGGTCCGAGTAAAAGCTCGACCTACAGACTATGGGTAGTCTAGCGGTCAAACAGAAAACTTTAGTCTCCGCATCGATCCGGCATTAACCAGCACGAACTGGATTCATCTGGTTCCGGATTGGGAAATGTAATGTATTCTGTAAACCTTGTTACTAACTATAGATGCGCTTTTCACTTTGGTCGCCTATTTGTCTAGGATATTTTTGAGGGTTTCTTAATTGCTAGGTTCTACATTGACGAAAGCATTTTAATGAACACGTGAGACGTTTACACCTTTGCATGATTTCGAATGAGAATTCACGCGAGTATATTAAATGGATGAATATAAAATTAATTGTTTGGAAAGTTAAAAATGTTGTCCTTTTCAGACCTCGTTCACCTACAGCGCAATCAGTCAAATGCGATATCGTTAAAAGAGACTTCAAACAAAGTTCAGGCAAATGTCGCTTTACGATCAAGTCTTTTAATTTTTAATTGGGTGCGGCAAACTTTACATATTCTCAGTTTATAAATGGTCGCCAGGAGCCAATTAATTTGTTAAGGTGAGAGCTACCTGTAAAACGATTTTAATTCATGGACAAAATGATAACTAATAGCATTAACATAAGTGTAATTATTTTGTTACACACCGATTGGATGAAACTAGAAAAGAATATCGTTAAAAGAAACCGAAAGATAGTGAACGGTTCTTACTTCATACATTTTTTTATCGGAATTTTTATTTTAAACCGTACGCGGGATACTTGACGTATTTTTGATCTACAAACGCTCCTCAGGAACCGATTAATTCATAAAGGAGAGAAATACCTGTATAACGATTTTCAATTAGCAGGTGAACTTTTCAAACTGCCGTTAATTTAAATCTAATAATTTTGTTACACATTGATATCCAGATGCGGATGAAACTAGAAAAGTTTATCGTTACGAGGTCCATACCGCGTGGGTCATATTTCGCTCCAAATATATTAACGCGCTGAATAAAGATTTAACGACTAACTTCCGCTTTCTTCACCTTCGAACGAATTCATACGAATTATTGTACTCGGAGTGTCATGACACGATAACCTACGTACTGACGTTACGAAGGGGCCAAAAGATTGACTGCGATCTCATCGCAGGTTTCCTGTTTATTTCACGTCCGCTCCGTTTCTGCGATTAAAAATTTGTCCCTTTAGCTTATTCGCGTGCTATCAATATTATTAACTCATATTTTGTATTTACTTTCACTATATCTCGCAGGAGCATATAACGCATAATAAATCGATTAACATCCAATTTTTATATCTATCCCAACAATTATATTTAATAGTGCACATCTCTCATGGAATTTCTAATAATTGACATAATAAAAGAACAGTACCACGGCGAATGAATAACAATTCGAGTGAAACTAATCTCACGTTATTATAGCTAAACATAAATTCATTAACTCCTAGAAATTATATGGATGGCTTCTAGATTTTTTTAAATTCAAATACAATTTGTTTTACAGAACTTTGCGGCCAAAGAATCACGAAATGCGACTGCTTGGAATAGAATTTGATGACAATTGTCAAAATTCTGACCACGTGGTGACGTTGCGAAAGCTGATCGCGTACAAAGAAATTCTCGTATTTTTGGAACGTGACTAATTGAAGCAGAAGTAATGTGGTTGGCTTCTTTTATTGTGGCCTGCTGTACCGCTGGCTGCTTACGTTCTTCACTCTGATATCCACTCATGAGATGAGAACATGTAGATGAAACAATCTCGGTCGATAAAGCTGCATTTCCTGCTGCCGAAAGTGTTCAGCTTCCTATATAAAGCTGCAGAGTGTGCCACTAAGCAAGAGTCCTGATAAGTCGGTAACTCTTATCGGCATTATACACCTGAAGAATGAAATGCATTTATTAATATAAATTTATAGAAAATATAAATACAGCGAACTTAGAACCATCAAAGACAAATTACTTTGTACCAATTAGGTGGTTATTTGCAATTATTCGGTAAGGATAACGTTACGAAACGAGCGCGTGAATAAATTTTCATGATCTAGGTAATCTATTCTAGCAAATCTTGAAAAAATTAATCTTTGATGCTTCCGATCATAAAATGATAAATTGGAGCTTCTTATCATTCGCTTTTAGCAAGGTTAATAAGAGTTAGTTACGTTGGAAGATCGCAGAACTTGGTGATTGAAATTGTCGTAACTGGCAGTAAGGAAAGATTGAATATGGATCCGAGACGAATTCATGTGATAAGAGAACGGTGATTATCAGATTCTTTTGAGCAATTACAACGCCTCCAGTCGTTTCGTCACATTGATGGGATTGTCTGACAACGTACGGATTAAAAGGTAACTGACGTAAGTGATGCTATCAGATGATCGTATCCATTATGGGATTATTAGAGTTTACCTTTAATCTCGCTCTTCTCGACTATGATCTGGAAATCCAAAGCGTTTTCCTTGCTCGAATCAATGTTCTTCGCCCACGCGGTACATTCGACCGTAACGAGTTTGTTAGCTGAAAAACATGAAAAGGTATTTATAATATATTTCTAATAAATCATATAACAAATCTGGCTCAGTCTATTTGGTAATATTTTCAAATAGTGATTTCAACACTTATAATGGATTATTTTTCTTGGGTTCTAGGTGAATCTATTTGCTTAAAATGTGATAAATAAAAACGGTTCAGTTTATTTTAACTCACCGGTTATGTTTTTGAAGTGCAACGCAACAATTGGGGTGAGATACCCAATTTGTCCACGAAATGGGAAATAGTCTACGGAAAATCCGGGGTAGGGAAGGTACTCGATTTCGCCCAAATTGTCATTATCAAAACCATGTGCACCAGTACAGGAAATCCAAAGATACCCCTGTTCGAAATTAATGCATGAATAAACAGGTAATATTTTTGCCGATTCTCTATTTTTATCCAGTTGTATAAAAATAATATTCACCTTTTTTACAGATTTTATAAGTCTTTGTAAATCATGAGGCATATCAGGAGGTAAGGAAGAATTTTGATTGTAGTATTGCGGAATCCACTCAAAGACCTATAGTAAAGTGAATGTTTATGAGAACTATCGTCACTAGTTTAACATTATCGATAATTACCTTATTATATCTAAGAAAAATACATGGATGGTAGGGGCTGTCATAACCGTAAGGCGATTTTCCACAAACTCCAAGTTTTTTCGTATCGAAAAAGCATGCCTTCTCATCGATGATTTTCCGTGATTCTCCCTCTACACAATTCGAACTATACTGGGAAACATTTTTATTATAGTCTGAAAAGTTAATGGTACAAGGAATTAAATATTGAAATGAAATTAATTTCTCTCGAGTCTGATGGTAATTGTTTCATTTTTATTTTATGGTAATAGAGGTTTTGAAAAGTTTATACCTTTTAGAACGTTATCCAATCTCTGAATGTACAGTTCAGGGTTGCCTTTACCTTTGGATGTGCTGATCCAGATAATTGGAGATGTTGTCGGCGTCAGGACATTAGGTTGAAATCCTAAACCTGAGCATACATTTTCGCTTACTTCCGCATTAATTGGTACGCAATCGTCAACATTCCGATATTACACTCGTTTTAAGAATTCCATTCCGTAATGCTTTATGAGAAAATATTGCTTCCGTGGCGACGATATAAATGGTTATAGATATCAACTTACAAAGGACTATTTTTACATAACGTCATTTACCAATAACGTGATATCGCCTTTCAGTGTCTCAATAAAACTGCATATAATTTATTTAGAATGTAATAACAGTCGAATTCATATTTATTTACAGAGGGCCACAAAAAGCAAGACTTTTCCTATTCTTATTGAAATTGCTTTTTTAATTTAATACATTCTTCTTTTCAATGAACCATTTGTTATTGTATTATAAATGTATACCTGGACTACTTCTTCCAGCCGAAGTTATAATTGGGAAGGATTTGAGAACTCCTGCCGACATTCCATAATATTGCACGTACGGCTTATCAAGCGGAGATAAATACAGCAATGTTACACACATCTTTATGGCCCACATACAGGCGAGCGTCCCGAAGAAGAATGTGTAAAAAATTGTGACCTGAACTGCAGGAATACAAGTAATTATTATAAAAACATAATTTGGCGAGCTGAATTACAGGAATACAAGTAATTATCACATAAGCATAATTTGGAAATTTTTCCGTAAAAGTAGATTTTTTCGCTTTTGGCACTTCTTACGCCATTCTTGGGCGGTTCTGTCAAGGAAGGCTCTCCTGTCACCGTCCCAAACGAAGCGACGAAAATTCCCGATACATCCTAAATCCTCCTGCGGTCGTCGACTCTCATAGTACAAGTCGTCATGCAAAATCATTTTGACATTGACAGCTGATATTTTCAAAGGAGAGGTCAGAGAAAAAAGTGTGCTCAATCGTGCGTGTAACCTAGTTGTGACTTTTTAACGTACATAAGGGACGTCACCTCTTTGTGCCAACCTTACACCTAATAATCGTAATTTACTACACTTTTTATATCATGTACAATGTGTACATTATTTCCAGTTTACACGGGTCGTTATAACGGGCGGAGGACACTGGAATATACCACCATTATATACACTACAATATTTATCATATACGTTTTCATGATTCATTTACTCGATAACCTGGAATTCTTTTGGTAGAAAAAACGGAACAGGTAGATATAAGGTTGATGATTAATTTTCCACGTATATGATACTCATCGAGTAAATATTTGGTGGAAATGTTTCCCCGAATCGCACGCATTGCCAATTCACAAGACGAGTTGCTTGAAAATTTAGGGGTCGGTAGAAGAGCGCTATACATCTACTATCATGGAATACTAATGTGCCAAAAAGTGTCATCCTCATAAAACGTGGAATTCGTGGTGTGTCATCGCGAATGCATGTACATACATCGGGTATATATTATATATACACACGTTACATGCATTTATATATACATTATACTTGTCGCAGCTGGCATCAAGAAGCATTCTTGTCGGCGTAACGCGAAGGAGTAAATATACGGTTATACGTTTACTCGGTATCAATCATTCAATGGGTCAGTAAGTACGCTCTCGACAATATCTGCCATATCAATTTGTTACGAGAAATCAAAGCTATAATCGCTCGATACATCTTTGATAGTAATGTGAGATTTGATTTATGGACCGACTTATTACAATACAAATAGGGGAGTAAATTTTGTGATCGCGTGTTGCAGATAAATTATTATTCAAAGCGGTAAATGTCCCTTTGCTGATGTATGTGCGTACATATATGCATAAATATATACATACTATGTTAACGAAATATTAATTTATCGTAAAACATAGTGCAGTCATAAATTATGTCATGAAAGGAATTCTCATTCCCAAGCTGCGGATATGTAATTACATAGTTTTGCGCGGATGTTGTATAAAACATTCTCCAGGTCGATAAGAGTGTTCCTGGCGAACGTATCTGACATGTTAATTTGTCATGCTTCACATCAGCTTCGTTTTTATTCTATGTATCATTCGTAGTAATGGGAGGAGTACTTCAAAATAGGTTTATTCTCAGTTTCAGCGATAGTTCCATTAACGCGATCTCAAGAGAAAGATCCTCAAATCTGTAATAAAATCCGCAGTTGTTAAATGTCTTAAAAATTGTTTAAACAATTAACTCGCCATGAAATCATTCTGAAAGTTGAGTTAATCGAGGAAAAAGAAATTCCGAAGGACATCTGACTTCGACAAATTTCCCGATTAAACAAGGGTAAGTATGCAGTTTCGCGAATTTCCATTAGGTCTTAAATATAGTTAATATAAAATATAATTTAATGTGGTTCCACAAATTAAGTAAAGGCTGGTGCTTAATTTGATTCGAAAGAGGTGATTGGTCGAAACTGAAAAAATAAGAAAGAACAAAGCCGTGACTCCTGGCCAATATCATTGACTTGCAACCGCGCCATAAGATACGCCGTGTTTTGAAATTCCGGAAAGCGACCAGATCTACTCTTTACATAAATCTCCAAGATCCCAGGTGTATACATGTACAGGACTTTTGTCTAATTCGTCTCCTCCATGCTTTCGTAATCATCCCGCGTTTCGCCTCTTTCCACATATTTATGTTTACGAGATACGGTTTTGGAACGGCGCCAGTTTAGCTTTCAGTCCGACACCGGATTGAAGATCCGAGGTGGCACGATTCCGCGTTTCGATCATCAGTACGGTGCAATCTTCACTTGAAATAAATGGTAATCAAATATCACAGCTTGCAAATGCCTTTGGTGTATTTTTGTAACATAATCACGTGTCGAATTAAATTCAAAACGACAGCGTTAGCGCGGATTAATGCGCACCTAACTCGAGCGATAACAGCAACATCGAGAAGTTCCCTGCATTATCGATTCTAAAACCTACCCTCGCAATATTCGCACAAATTTCACGGTCTCCTTAAACATCCAATATTCAACCACTTCCAGGTTTAAGAAGAAACCGCATAAAAATAAGGGTCACCTGTCAAAATTCCTGTATTTCACAAATGACACAATACCGACGAAACAAACGGAGATAAATCTTAATACGTTATCATCTCTGTAAATTCTGAGGACCCTGACGCCATCTTGCATCCGGAGAGGTAACTATCATTAAAACCGATCGGAATCCCTATTTTTCGCACACCAATGGGTGGATGACTTCCTTGAAATAATTTGCAGTTGCACTAGTTCTCCGAACTTAAAATCATTCAATGCATCCCCGAATTTCCCCGCTGTGGAACTTGTAAAATATAGAACATATTTCCAAGTAGATGCATATATTTTCCACTCGCAGGGTTAGGTTCGTTCCTCGCTGTAGAAGTATAAAACCGCGGAGAACCTCAGGGGACGATCAGTGCGCCTGCGTGCGTCGAGCCGGTACATCAGGGCGGGTGAGCAGGAAATCCTCGATAGAGCCTCCAGAGCGCACCACTGGCGCGGAGGTCGTACGAAAGCGGCCGTGCCGCTCTGGGGCCTCGGCTGTGCGCCAAGATCTGCGGCGGAGCTCGGTCTGTGTTTGTCTCGCGATTCGGCGCGCTCGCTCGTGCAGGGGTTCCCACCAGCTCCTCGGGTGTGCGATATATCCTGGGTTTTCCGGTGTCCATCGTCGCGATCTCGGTCGGCACGACCGCGGCGGGGGTCTGCGTCTCGACGTGCCGCGCGTTCGGCCAGGTCCAGTAATGCGTGTCAGTGGTGGCAGTGGCGAGCACTCGGGTTGTCTGCGGCGCAGCCGAGCCGCGGGACGTCGCCGAGGCTGTGGGAAATCGAAGTAGCTCCTCGGAGTCCGAGATTACGAGAGCGGTGAGTGCGCGAGTGCTGCCCCGAGGGTCGGAGCCGCTGCGTTCCCGGAGGGAAGTCGTCCGGGTGGTCGCGTCGCGACCGCCTCCGGCCCCAACGGACGTCTTCCTCCCCGGACGCGAAGGTCGGCGGGAGGTCCGGAGAACGCCCCGTGTGCCGGCGACACGCCGACCGGCCTCGAGGAAAGGCCGTTTCCCGGGCACGTATTAATATCGATCAGGGCCTCGCACGGAGAAGCGGCGGAGGCGGCAGCGGAGGCGGCGGTGGTTCCGGACCGGGAGGCGCTTCCGAGAGTTCCAGGCTCCGCCCTGTCAATTTTGCCTCGTTAATCGCGAAACCGCGATTTCATCCGCATTAACGCCAATGTCAGCGGCACGCACGAGAGCGGCCGAGCGACTTGGAGGATGCGAGACCGGCCAAGGAACTTGCGAGCGCCGTGGCTTTAACGAAGAGCCTCGTCGACGGAGTCTTCCCGGTTACTGGAGATAGCGGAGGGTGGGAAGCTTCTATTGACGGGCTTTTCAAAACTTTCTTTGTTTATCGTTCGGTTTTCTGTGGGGCTAGATATTTTGACTCGGACTCATACCTCATTGTTAGTATTAAATATTGTCTTTGTCCTATTCGTGGATTTCATATAAATGGCGCTTTTTAATACTAAAAATCAGGCTCGATATGGATATTTGCATTTATCGCTGAGGAGAGTGGATTAGCTTGCGACTGTTCAACCGGCATGGATTTAATTCAGGGGGATTGTCCCGTCGAATGTAAAAAAGAATCACTGGAGTCGAGCCATTTAGGGAGTAACGTTGGCACGACCAATTTGCGAAATGTACTGCGTATGGGTGGTTTTACTTTTAAATCGTTCCTTGTGGCTGTTAGTTTTTTGGGATGTACTTGCTCAGGTGTTCCTGGTGACTAAATCATTTTTTATGAAACGGGGCGTTCGGGAATCGAGACCTAGTTTCTAAATTAGAGAGAACGGCGGTGAGATTCTATTGCAGGGTTTGTATCTTGGAATTTAAGTAGCAGGGTGTTAAATCATTGTTCTTTCTTCTCTGTTTATTTTGCGATTAACTTGAGCGAATCCGATCGCACAATAATTCTGTGAGATCGCAGATGCTGCAGGGATGCAACTAAAATTGGAACACCGATATCGTACAAGATACAATTATAAATAGAGTTAATGCAGATCCGAGAGCGTGCAATTTGCTGACACGGAAGGTGTGATTCGCAAAAAAGTTAGGCAAATACCTTTGGCACGTCAATTAAGGAGTTCCGAATAACAGGGACAAATATAACGGAGAGATATACCTCATTGAAATAGCTGCTTAGCGCGAAAAAATACTTTGCCGTAACGCGTATATAGAGGATCATGTGATTTGGAATAATGCCACCAGTGCACCTAACCGCTCGTAATGCAGGAAAGGCTCTGCATTTGTTTAGTGTCAAAGCAAAGTGCCACTTTTTATAGCGCAGCATCTTCCCATGGTTTCAATTCAAGTCTTTAATTCACTCCTATGCCATTGAAGCGAGAAAAATCCATTGCCAATATTATTAGAAATCTTTAAGCAACATAGCCACTTTTATGCCTTTACCTTTGCACGGTTATATTTATACCGTCAAGTGGTTTGAGAGGTTCCAAGCTGTAATAATATTTATCTATAGTAGCGAGTAGAAATCTGTACCTCCTACCATACTCCTCTCTGACGAGTCATGAAAAATCTCTCCACAGCTATGAGCAATGGAACTAGGTGCCCATAAGTGTAAACAAATTAGTCCTTAACTCTAGATTTATGGAACCCGTCAATTTGATAGATTTTGAATGTCACAAACAAAATTACAAATACTATTATCATCTATTTCTAGTAATTTTTCTTTGTTTTTATTATTGGAGTGATATGAACATACATCCAAACTAAATTTATAAGTTAATAGGGTATCGTTAAGTTATTTCTAAATTATATAAACCTTGTTTTATTTGGCGAAATGTCAGTAAACCTAGTGTTAAAATAATGAAGAATCTATGCGATGCGTATGCTTATGTTAAATTGGAATGACATCCCAGTTAATGGAATTTTATGTCGGTGCTGTCATAGAAATTGCATCGAGACCAATGAGTAATTCTTGACTGGGAGTGCTCGGTCCTCCCTCGACGCGTTTCTATCTTGAGAATGTTCGCAATAAATACCGAGGGTCTGCATGCTCGGTTGATAAGAGCCGTAAGGTATCTGCGATCGAACTCATTCCTTTTTACCAAGACACTAAATATAATGCGATTACTCTTGCGCTGGCGAGATTACACGGCCGTTCCCTGATAACGCCGCTGCATCTGGCGGCATATTATTAGTAACGTATTAGCTGTGTTTTCGCCCTCTACTCTTTATCGCGAGCTCGTCTACTATTATAGCGAGCGGCGCATCCACCTTGTGTACCCTGTGTCGACGATAAGGCAGAAGTCAATGTCTTCTTCCCCGGCGATTCCGATCGAGTCCACCTACTTTTTCCTACGAGTTTATTTCGATTAAATACCATCGACCGACCGACCGCCTCCTTCAATTGAATAGGTTGTTTCACCATTACGACTCTTGTAGTAGTCGATCGCTATCCGATATGTCTTGCGGTCGATAGGAATCTATCAATCTCGGCACGTGATATCGACCACCTTTAACGGAGATAACGTATCGGGCGTGATGGCTCTCGTTACCTCATCCGAATAACTGCTTTTCGAATAACGTAACATCTTCCTCCCGTGTAGACCGATTTTCTTAACCTCTTCCTTGCCTAAGGAGAACGTAAATTAATTACACTGATCGGAAGATTTCATCCTTACGAGTCTTGTTACAAATATGACGGACATGGGTCAAGACTACAAATTAATTGGCTCTGGACGACCGTTCGTAAATCGAGAATTCGTAAAATTTTGTACGTCCATTGTTTAAAATAAAGATTTAAAAGGAAAAATCGTAACGGCGTGGACTATGCGTGGATGCATTATTTGGACGTACACTTGGGGGTCCTTTTAAAGATTTCATCCTTTTTAAACTCGAATAATCTCTTTATTTTCTTCTTTATTAATTTTGATGAAATCTTAAATATAGCATATTGATGTCGTATGGTTCTGTTTCTTGACAAAATGACATCATTCTGACATCATTTTGGATATCATGCTGGAGAGGAAAGGTTATATCGTCCGATTGGCATGAAGTTCAGAACGCGGATGGATAAGTTTTAAACAAAAGCATAAAGTGGAAACCGTAGTCTTGTTCAAAATGGTCGTAGGTAATTTTAGACTCATTCAGTGAAATCCTACTCGTGAAATTCTAATCACGACCGGTGTATCACTTTAAAGTGATGTAACATCGTGATGTCAAAATGACGTCAGTATGATATCATTTTGTCAGGAATAATAATATGACGCCAATGTGCATATTTAAAAATTTCATCAACATCGGCTGAAAAATAGTAAGTTGTTCGAGTTCAAAAAGGGAATCTTAAAAAAGACATTCTGTACGTCGTACTGACGTATTTATCGCACATTCGTAATCTCTACTCTGAAAGAAATTCGGGCGGTAATTCGCTTCAAATGTACTTGGCGCGTAGTTCGATCGAGTTCCTTGATGTTTACCGCCGTATGATCCAGTTCTATTAATAACGAGTAAAACTATGTTTACTTATGATTCGTAGCTTTTGTTCTACAAGTCGAGACTGACGTACTCTACCAAATAGTAATATTAAACTTTTTCGGTAATATTTAATTTCAGATCGTTGCTCGATAATGCGTTACCGAAAGAAAAAAAATCTGCAAAATCCATCTCCTTTTCAGTGAAGGGAAAAGTGTCGATTAAAGGGATTTCTGCGGGAATTAGTTAATATGAATTAATATAGCATAGCGTAAGACGTGTTTAGATTGCCGCAAGTAATTAATTTCGCCTAGATATTAAAATTGTCGAGTAACGCGTTCTTCTTCGGTGTCTGTTGCAGATGAAAATTGAGACTTTGCAGGACATGACATAAAGGGGCTCCCAGCGGGATGGCGATCGCAGGAGGGTCGGGGCCGTAGCTCTCTTGCCATGTTACTAACGCGGACCCCCTCGCCCTCGAAGACTCCGCCGAAGATGTTGTCGTCGGTGCTCGAGGAGGAGGCCACCGTGGACATCGACGAGGTGTTCCCGCCCCACGTCGACACCTCAAACATCGTCGTCCAGCCCGAGTCGCCGACCAGCAAGAAGCAGGTCCTGAAGACGTTCAACGAGGTGAACGCGCTCCTGCAGGCAGGACGGAAGCGGGAGGCCAAGCTAATCATCCGCGAGAATGCCTGGCCTCTTAACAACGGCATCAGGGCGCAGCTCTGGCCCGCCCTCTGCGACCAGCACGCTCCTGGCAAGAGCATGCTCGACGGCTTCTACTGGGACATGGTCAATCAGGTCTTCGGGACGACAGGTATCGTCTTGTCTTTCGAGTTCCCTAAGCTTTTTCTACCTTCCGCAGATATTTCTACAGGTTTCCGCAGCAACCGGGAGTCTGGCGAAACGTTCCGCACTCCACCAAAGACGGGGGACGTGATTTGCCCCTCTCTCTACTGGGGGCTCTTTTAGAGCATTTTTTAATCATTTTCGTGAATCGGTAGTTTCCACCTTTATGAATTATTTGGCTACCGGCGATCGTTCGTAAATGGAGAACTAGTAAAGTTTGCTGCGCACGATTTAAAATGAAAATATTTATTAAAGAGATATCCGTAAAGTGAGAATCACATGTACAGGTAGTTCGCGCCTTTGCGAATTAATTGGCTACTGGCGACCGATCACGAATAAAGAATTCGTGAGGTTCGAGGCGCATGATTTAGAATAAAAATACCTTTCAAAGAAACCCGTAATGGGGGGGGCCATCTGTACAAGTTGGCACCCTTACAAATTAATTGGCGACCGGCGGCCGATCGAAAAAGGAGAATTCGTAATGTTCGCAGTACACGATTGAAAATAAAAATACCTGTTAAAAAAATCCGTAATCTCATATTTATTTTTTGAGAGTTCTTTGACCTTTTATGATAGATACCACGAGGAATCAATTATTTTTAACGACGACTCGGTCTTCGCTGCATAAAACGCAGCTCGTATATTTTTATATGTCGTTTTTTAAATAAGAAGTTATTATTTAAACATTATGAATTATAAAAGTCGGATAACGATTCAAGAATCAGTAGAAAATAGGTATTATGCACGAAATTTTGTATGAAGATGACGTTAATACGTGTCCTTTTTTAATTAAAAAAAAAAAAGTACCGATTTAAAAGATTAGAGCCAAAACTATCGATGTAGTTTTTGTAACTGGTGAGAGAATTTCAAACAGCAATGCTATAGTATGATTTGTTAAAATTCGATAGATTGGGAGGTCCGATTACCTCTGTACCGCGGAAATGCAATTTTGGGGGAGCGAAGAGTATACCGAGGGTATTGATGCATCCATGACGAGCTCCTTGAAGTTATGCGCGCTATGGTATTATTTTTAGTAAATTGTTCAGGAGGTGGGGGGCGAAATTCCGCGAAGGCCCGGTTTGCTCGACTTTTTGGTTAAATTGTAGGCCAACCAAGCCGATGCGTTATCCGAACTCAATGTACATCCTTAAGATCGACCAGCTGATGGAGATCAGCTGTTTTCTGCGAGATCAGCTGATTACGAGTCGGGGGAATGCAATGATGCTCGTCGGTACACTTAAGATTTAACGCGGGCAATTTCAAGATCACTTTCCATCGAAATGAAATTCAAGCTGAAACCACTCTAAATAGGATTGGATAATCGCAATACTATTATTAGGTTAAATAATTCTTCGTGAATTTGTTATGCACGTTCTGCAGTTTGCGCGCATCTGCGGATTCGAAGTGAAAATTAAAATTTGAATCGCTTTCCACCAAAATGAAAATCCAGTTAAAATTAGTCTAAATAGGATTGGAAAACAATCCAATGGTTACGTAATATTTCAGCGCGATTTTGTCATGCATGTTCGGCAGTCTTCGCCCGTCTACGTACTCGAAGTGAAAATTAAAGCACGTTCCGGGAATTATTTTTCATAATTTACCTCCACGAGGCTCCCTTTGTACAGGTGCACCTAGGTCGCCTCTAGTGTCGGCATTTTCACCTCTAGGTGGAACATGAATTAATCAATAAAGGTGAATTCGCCCATCTAGTGGAAGAGGCGAATGAAAACCGGGTCGATTTTCCCGAGGGTGGAAATATCTGGTCTGGCCGAGTTTAGCACTCGGTCAAGTGGAGCTCATTTTTTATTTGGTTCACCCTGGATTTTAAACCCCCCTATTCCCCTCGTGCACCCGGTAGCGAAGGTCGAGTGTAGAGTTCCTACGCCGTCGTGCGACCCTTGTAAATTTATTTACTATACTTCAAAGTGGAGGAGAAATTCAATTCATTCCCTCGTAAAATTTTCTTCCCGCGATTTTAGAATTTCAAATTTTCCCGCATGTCGGGAAATTCAAAATATTTCCGGAAATGTATGTAGGCTATTCTTGTGGAAGATTTTTTCCGGGAAGAGTGCAGATTCTCGAGAGTCCAATTCGGAATTGTGGAACGTTAAAATGTGGAAGAGCTTTGATGACATTTCACGGCTGGGCTTTAGAACAGGCTCGAACAACTGGGAGGCAATCGGATTGAACAATGCCGAGCAAAGAAGGTTTTCTACGTCGCGCCGGGTCTCATTTACAAGTTCACCTAGTCAGCTGTTCTTCGTTCCCACGAAAGGAAAGGCGCGAAGAGGCTCGAACAGTGTAGTACCTAATCGCACTTTTTAAGTGTGACTTCTTATGTCACGGTAGTCATGTATATATTTGCATGTTAAGGGGAGGAGACTGATGTAATAGATTGAAAAAATGGATTTTCTCTGCTTAACAAATCAATACTAGCACCTATAAGATAGGAGGAATATAATTGTAACATTTGTTTTTTGGTAAATACTTGTTATGCTACAACGAAGATGCGCCTTGATTCCTGCTTGTTAAAAATACATTTTGCATCGGGAACGACTTTTATTAATCGTTAAAATATACGGAAGGATTTAGTGAAGGTTTCAAACAGTTGCGGGAACTCCTTTCTTCGTATAAGAAAAGTCATAGTGCCTTGAGAAAATATGGGATGAAATTGAATGTAAGAATTTCTGTAATAACAGCTAATCAGTCATGTCAAGTGGTTGGGAAATCTAGTGTTAAACCTGGACAGATGAGAAATTAGCATAAGTTTTTACGTACCTCCGTCGAACGTGGAAGTGGAAAAGGAAATCACTTCTTCACTTCTGAATTTGACTTCCATCTTCTATTTTTCTGCTCAATAGCCTAACATTTAATCTCTCTCGTTACCGAGTTCCGCAAGACTTGTTGGCACGGAAAGGGAGATTTATTTATATTTTCATTTACCTCGAGATGTTACACGTTCTTACGTTTTGCGCCGAGGCTGAAAGAATTTATATCGCGGGTAAAGGAACCATTTTCATAATGAAATTAGGCCCAGAGTGACTTTTCGAGCCCAAATTTTGAGATACGTGTGTACGAATGTTGAACGCCTTTTAGACCAAGGCGACTCGGTTGTTGAGCAGCCTCGTTGTTTGCCAAATAAACGGCGATTATCGCAAGCCAAAGGTAAACGCCTGGAGATAATTGCACGTGTTAAAAGCCTAGAGAGGCGAATCGCGGATAGGTATTTTCCGATCGACCGGATAACTCGAAGGCAACCTTTTTCCTTACCCGTGAATCTCTCCTCGGGGATTTAAAACGGTGACGCAACTAAGTCGGAAGACTCTCGTTTTAATAAAAACTGCTCGGTGCATTACGCCGACTTCCTAGGGAATATATTCTGATCGTTTACCGATATTTCTCTCCCCAGGGAATTTTTATAATTTATAACTGATTAATATTATCGCACGATTACAGGTGGCGAACGCTCGGAGAATTTTCACAACTGCGAAGTTTAACGCCAAGTATATCAAACCATTTGTTCATCTCTATGAAAATGCCGGGGAACGGTTTATATGGGAAACATGAAACATTCTGATATATAATCGAATGGTAATAATTTAAACTTCCGGCATTAAGTGGAGATTTTCAAATGGAACGCGATATTTTTCATTGCAGCTTCAGATTCTACGTCAAGGAATTAAGTTTCGTTTCAAACAATTTTTATTTTAATGTTATCACTAAGATTCAAATGATCTGGAGAGAGTGACTTATGAATAGGAGAGCTAGCTAGGAAATTATCTATTCGAATTAGAAGTTCAATTTCTCGAATGAAAAATCACGAATCATACTTTCAGGATTATTTCAAGCTTAATGTCCCATTTTTGTTTAGTACCTAAAGTTGAAATTATTATCATTCGATTTGCTTATCAGAATTCTTCGGGTGTTTCGCATAAGCCATTCCCTTCCATTTTAATAAGGGCGGTCGGATTGTCTGGAACAGTTTGTACATATGTATATATATACTTTTTTTTTTATACACACGAATGAATTTTTTTCCCCGAAAACATCGACTCTAAAATCGTCGAGACTTCGGAATTTTTCCATCGCTCGTTTTCCTCACTTTCGGGGAGAAATCTTTCTTTCACTTGAGCTGAAGAGCTCTGACTGTAAATCGTGACTAAGTCGGGAGATTCTTGGCTTGAGAAAAGATGCAGAGTGAACCATGCCATGCATAACGGTTGATTGTCGGGAAAAACTCGTATTAGATGATAGGCGTGAGTAACGGAGGAAATATTCTCGCACGGAAGCTTTTCCTAGCCAAGAGGAAAGAAATCGGAGCTAGACCCTAAGATCGGACAGAGTTTCGCGCCAAATACGTTGCAAGGCACGGCTTAATTCAGACTCTAACTCGACTGAGGCTCTGGCGAGAAAATAGGCGGAATTAACGCCGACTGGAACGAACCTCCGACGTACGATTTGGCGGCTGGTCGTTCCATTTCAGAGGCAATTATTTGTCATTATCGCCGGTTTCGGATTTCACGTGTACCCAGCACGTTGTGCGACTCGCGGTTAATGTTTAACGTTCCTGACGACCTGCGAGATACTCGGCTATTTTTAATGCCTTTGGCTGCGGGAGAGCCGCGCTGATACCTCTCCGCATTTTAAATCGGATCATTAGAATGCGCGTCATCTTAACGCCAATAAAGCCATAAAATTAGCCCGACCGTCGGCTTTGTTGGAATCTATTTAATCGTCGGAAAAGCCTGACGTCGGATACTGCGAGCGTTCATGAAGAAAAACACCGAGGTACGTGGAATATATTTAAAGAACGTGGAAATTTACTCATAATTTCGCGGGGAAAATCTCGGAGATTCTAGGATATTTTTTTCCTTGATGTAGAAATGCATCAGAGAATAATCGTCCCCGCCTTTATACGCTTTGATTTCATTTGATATATTTAAATAGTTAAGAAACCAACAGTTAAAAGAGCCGTTTCCGAAACAGGAAAGTACATGGAATATATTTGAAGTATATGTTCTTGGTCTTGTGATAAATGATCTCTTTTAAATTCCTGAAAATCGACATTTATCTCCTTAATGGTAGAGTACACAATGAAATCATCACATATTAATTTATATTTCACTTTAAATGTCAACGATTAACTGAGAGAATGACGCACCGATGCTACCGCAAACGTTTACGCAAATTGTGATAATACTCAAACACAAATATCAATGTAAATAGTAATTAACTGTAAGAAAGGCGTATTATTTTTCAGAACGGAGCCCTTTCTTAACATGTGCAGTAACGCGCACATATGAAATTCCATGAAATAAACATGAATATTTCCCAAGAGAACGAAATCTCGCAATTTTTATGAATACCTAATATCAAGGGAGGAGAATTGCTTTTTTTACTGCCCCTTAATTGTCGTAGCGCGAGCTTGACTAATTCTCCGGAATCGTTTGTTCCCAGAGCTGCCAGAAAAGTCAATCATGTTACCGCCATTCGTCGATAGCACTCATTGTCTGTCCTACAACTTGACGCGAAAAGGCAGGAGCGTCGCCGACAGAGTCGTGTCCGTCCTCGGATATGCCTGTCCCGACATAACGTACAGCCCGTCCCTGTATCCAATTACGGCGCTGCTGCTTCATTTTATGCCAGGTGAGAAAAACATTAGTTCTTCCCCGAGGCTTGTAGCCAGGAACCAATACTCAAACGCGCGCCTCCACCTCGTGACGACTGCAACGACTTCAAAGCGAGTTAACAACTTTTTGCCAAGACAATTGCATTTCGTACTAGTTCGAAAGGTGAGGTAGGTCAGGCTCGAAAGCTGGCCTTGAAGTTTACAGGTTTTATAACCCGGTGCGATGATAACTGCACCGAAAATAGAAATTCGGCCCTGATGGTTCAATTATCTTATACACCGATGGCGGACATCTTCATTTTATGGGAAGCCGTGGTTTATAAATTTCAGCTCGAGTCTTTTGATTTGCTTTGCAAATGGAGAAATCGAGGTTGTATTTTTCGTGATTTCTCCACTCCACGGAAATCTGAACTGGTGTCTGGCTAATCCTTTTCTTCCGTGTGAAGTTGATGTTAAAGATTGAACGATTGCTGTGGATTGGTTCTTTCGAGTCGAGGTTTTCCTGGTTAGAGATTTGCGAGGGATTCGGGAATTCTGGTTAATGCAGCGACTGTAGATTCTGCCCGTTTTCTAGAGGAGGAGTGCTATCACTGTATGGCCACGTTGGTGGCGGCGAAAGAGAAGATGTTCATCACGCAAACGAAGCTCCTCTACGAAGTCACCTGGAAGACTGTAGAGCAGATCACGAAGAAGCACGTGGTAGGTAGAACGACCTTGCTAATGGTCGGACGTTGTTAACGATCGCGCCCTTCGTCGTGTATTGAGCGAAACGCTCGGCTCATGATCGGCAGCTTCCGCAGCTTAATTGCTGTTAATTGCTGAATCCTCTCGTTTCGCATGATTTAAGAAATCGGCTGCGGTGCACTTGGCGAGGCATTGTTCCGGCTCGAGGGCGGAAAGGATCTACATGGACTGGATCTGGTGGATTCTTCAGCTATTACCATTTCAACATCTAGTCAGAGTTATGGACTGTTTCCTGCACGAAGGCATCAAGGTGAGGCCGGACTCGTGCGCGCGATGCGCGCACATCTACGACCCGTTACGGGAAATGCATTATTCAGTGTCCAGGATCATTGTTTTCTTCGTCCTTACAGGTCTTCTACCGGGTAGCCATGGCTATAGTCTTATTATTCTACAAACATTCGTCGTCGCAAAACTCCGAATGGCTCAACGAAATTTCGAAGAACGGCATCGACGCGGCTCTCTCGAAATTTTGCCGACAGATACCAGTGAGTATGTCCTTGGAAGCTACAAGCGGACTTTTCAGCGGGTATATTCCCCTTTGGAGGTCTGAAAAAACTTAAGGCGATATTAATGTGATATCCGAGGGGTCAATGGATAGAAACTTTTTCGCGAACTGGGTGTATAGGATTGTTAGAAATTTTACCACGTGAATGTGGAGGTCCTAAAGACGGTCCCGATACCCATGGATTACATTTTTACAAACAAGATGTAAGAAATTATAATACGCAAGTTTGAAAGAAACGAAGTTTCACGGGTGTCAGGACCTTCCTTATAGCCTCTATATTCACGTGGTAAAGTTTTGACCGATATGGTGTACCTGGTTTGGAAATAAGTTCTATAAACGAGACCCCTCAGACGCCACTTTCTTATCACCTTAATAACAGATTTAAGGGATTGGTCGGAAAGTGTTTAGATTTCTGCCTTGTAACGGAGTGTGCAAGTTAAAAGCACTTTTGCATTACACCTGTACAGCGGATACACTCCATGTTTTTATGGAACAGGTTTATACATGAAAATATCGATATGTCGAAGGATCGAAAAAATCAGCGGACCGTTCTCGTCCGACGACGGGATTTTTCTTCGAGGTCCAAAGTGGATCCTTTGGTCGAGACTTATGGACGCGCTTGCATTAATGTTTCGCAGGTGACGCCGGCAAAATTTTTACGCACTGCCTTTGGGATACGCGGACTCAGCTCGGCTTACATATCAAGAGTATTTTTACGCACCGAGATGGCTCTCAAGAGTAGAAGTGTACTGACAGGGTCTAAATCTCTCGCTAGGTCACGATCGACGGACAACCTGCCTACGAGTCAATCCCAAGTCAATATTCAAATGATGTCTCACACCCTCACCATAAGAGAGGTAAGTCGTTCTCGTGTACCCTGGGTTATCGAGTTACTTTTATCGGGTAAAATCGACGCAACAAGTAGTTTACGAGGAGTTTAAGTATGACGAGCATCCCTCGCGGTAAATCTGGGGTTTTAGGACGGAAATAGGTAAACGAGAATGCGTCGACGTGTTGTCTTAGGCTGAGGTTCAGGTCAAACAAGGTGGGATTTGGCCCAGTATTTTTATCGGAATTATTCCGCCGACGTAGATGCTAATTCTGCCACTTTGCATTTTGCCGAACGCTCGGGATCTCGCGAGATCGGAATGGCGAATTGAAGCAGTCGAACGGATGTTGAATTCAAGTGTACTACGTATGCAAGTGGTTCGGCATTATTCAAGCAATGTGAATAATTCGAGCCTCTTATAATTGAACCGCTACTGCTGTTTAAGACGCTGATTTATTCGCCCCGCGGCGTAGGTTGAATTACGAATTGTCGGATAGGATTAAAAAAGTCGACGTTTCCGAAGATCAAGTTCGCCTCTGTGCCGTCTAGTCAGCGAAATGATCATTGCCGGCTCGGTATTTGTACCATCGATACCAATAACTTGGTTTTAAGTGTATTGTGCTTGGTGAATTACGGGTACTGGTATTTGGGACATTGATTGTATAAACCGAGGTGGAAAAAAAAAGAATTATCCAAATCCGCTAACGACGTAAATGTTTTATGTATACTTTTATCTATACGTATCCTGGTAGTTTAAGGTGGTATAAACTGTACTAACCATATGTTTCTGGGTGTCTGTCCTTTATTATTATATTAGGGCCGTTTTACATGATCCAATATCGCAAAAAACAGTATTATATTTTTAAAAATTCGAACCTGGCGCGTTTTGTTCCTTTCCATAGATTATAATATTGTCGTTTTCTAGGGCAGTTCTTGTTTGAAAATAAAGTATGAAATGTTCACTGGATGTTGTGTCATGTAAAATGAGTTTCCCGGAAAAAAAAAAAGTATTTTTCGGGCTTGTCGCTAAGGTGGTGAAAACTCCTAGGATTACGTATCCCCCCCCTCCCCCCAGACAATATCTCGAGGTACTCTCGCGTGAATTCCTGGCGTATAATCGCTTCTGGGTCATTTATATAAAATCAATAAAGTGGAGTCGTTGCACCTTATACACGCTATCTCAAGGTGAGCCGAACACCGTTGACAAAGAATCCTACCACGAAAAAGGTATTACCTTTGAAGGCGAATTATGCTCTAAAAAGAGTTAATTCCTTTTTTCCAACCCAGCAGGAAAAAATTACATCGCGCAGAACGACACAACGAGTACGTTTCTTATTTATCAATTACTGCTTCGTAGGATAACGTCCGGCCTTGGCATTCGATTCCCAGGATTAGCCAAAGAGACGGAATTGAGTCGCCTTTTAATCGCGCAATTAATTGTGCGATTTCTCGTTGACGGGGGAGTCTCGTAGTACGGTATCGCGTTTGATAAGCTCCACTAATTGGTCCTCTAATATTTTTTCGAGTGTAGCGATAGACCAGGAGGAAGGGAAAAAGAAAATTAACGTGACGTTTTAGACTCTCCTTAGCGGACATAGAAGAGCCGGCCGAGCGCAAGTTTTTTCAATGATTCACTTTGTTTTCAGAAAGAGTGCGAAGACACGTACAAAGACAGGGTATCGTATGATTATCTTTTTGGAAAATGTGTCGTTATAGTTTCATGTGCTCTGACCTCTGTCCCTGAACTACTACCTACTGTACTCACATGTACTCACTCATTGTTACACTACTGCGTCGGCTTTGTCGCTGTACCATACATCTGCAGCTGCGGCATTTTTTCTTCGAGTGAATTCACCCATTGGAAAAGAAATCGAAACGAAATCTTAGAAGAACGCGCGAAACCGCCAGCAAGCGACAGGACTGTTCGGCTTTCAATGTGATAACGCATTTTTTTATTTTTTTTTTATTTTTTTTCCTTCATCCAATTCGCAGGGCTGATAACTTGCGATCACTCGTCGCCCGATAGAAAATCCCACGTTAGACGATTTCGCCTACTCTCATCGTCTTTCGTTTTAGTAGCGCTTTAGCAGTATGTGCTACTACTTGAGCTACGGCTTCGAAGCCTAATTTTTTTTTCCGACTCCCGTTGAAATTGAAACCCTGATAAGGCAAGGGATGTTTCAATTTTAATGCGAGCCGAGGAAAAAATCGACCGCCATCAACCTCTTGCCCGAGGAGTCTCGAACTAACTCAACGCTTCTGGGGTCTTCTTCTTCTTCTTTTTTTTTTTTTTTTTTTGAAAATGCACATGTCAACCGCAATTCAATGAGGCGGAATAATCCGACTTTAAAGTATGTTTAAGTTTGAAGAGTATGACGGTAGTGATTATAAATTAATGAAAAAATCGGGTGGGTCAATATTGGCTTTTAGCGGTCTAGCGGTACTCGCTTGAATGTCGAATTGAAATTAATCGTGGTACATGTTTATGGGTGGATATGGATCTTTGCACGTGATTTAATATCTCCATCGCGGTACCTTGAAGTAAGAAATTCCTCAAGCGCGAGGAGCTTATTTTCAGGCTTAAAACTGGAATTTTCGCATCAATCAAGTCGCGTGCTCTTAGCGATCTATTCTCAGAAGTTATGGTATCGTTTATGCTGGACGTTCCCTAGATGTGCGAGAGGATGAAAGTGTTAACAGTCTTGCTTCGGTTTGAGATAATTAAGCCGTGCCTGTGTTGAGAAACAATTAACTTTCTGCGCGATGTCTTCTCATTGCCACGTAGGACCATTAGCCTGGATTAACGTTTTCCTGCATTGTTAATCATTTTTTCGCTACGACTGCAGCCATTCCAGAAACCCGAGACCCAGATAAAAACATGATCTGATTTGAGGTGAAGTGAAATTTTGTTTTAAAAGATTATTACATTGGATTCAGAACTGTCTGAAACCTTAGCACATGAATCATAAGTACGTAAAGAGTGTGCAGACACTTTGAAAATTTGATTTTCAGAAAAGATCTGTTTTATTTAGCCTACATCAGTTACACGATATTTGTTCTTATTGGCAACATTAAGTTTCTCGGCGGGTTTCACTTCACCTTAAAAAACAAGAACAGACACGACAGTACACTGAGACACTCTTCGACACGTGAAATCGATATTCAATTTGACCTTTTCTCATACAATGGTCCCTGAAAATGCGAAGTGTAAACACCTTATTCACACGCCACATCTGTCATTAATCTAGGATTAATTATTAAGGGGGTATTATTGCACGATTTTCGCAAACTTTTTTTTCCCCTCGTTCGCCTGACCGACTTCCGGTATCTGCATTTGTCCGTACATTGAAACGTCACTCGTTCTTGTGGATTTTCTCTCGTCTCTCCACTCTGACTCACGGTGTTTTTTCTTCCCTTTTTTTTATGCCATGAAGTACCACCATTTCACCTTGGAATATGCATAGACTGTAGCGCCCGTTTAGGACGATCGAGCTATTAGCGTTAATTCTGGAAAAAGAAATTGAAACGATTCAAAATGACTCGAGGCGCCGTTAAGAAGGTCATTAAAAATGGAAAGGGACAAAAAAAGGAGAAACGCACGGGACGTTTATAAAAAATATGTACAGGTCGTTATTGCATAGATCCCGTCGTGGTGGATGCATTTTTTTGTCTCTCGGTACGGTACATTTTATGTCCACCTTAAGGAACCTGAGTCAGTTTCTTTTTTTTTTTTGTTTTGCTGTAGTGATACATTTCAGAACACTGTTGCGTGCTTTTCTCTTAGGTGATTCAACCATATTTATTTGCAAGAAATAATATTATCACCTGTGTGACATAACATGGCTTATTTCCAGAATAATTTAAATCGCGAATTTTGTGGTTTAAAACGTCGCACCGCGCCTGGTGAAGATATTGAACAGTGATTAATTCAGTATTAGCAATTAACCATGTAAAGAGGAATTGAGTCGGTTCAATTTTTAGAATGTATTATCGTCAATATTTACTGATAATCCTCCCAGAGACGGCACACTGAGAATAGTCGAATCACCATAGAAATTCTACGAATTATGTCTCAGCCATTCCGCATGGTTTGCATTTTCCATCTTAACACTTTACGTATCGAAAGATTATTAATTCGATTCGCAATACCAGCGATCGCCATTTATTCCCAAATTTGCCGGTAGGTAAAGTGTTAACAGTTCACTTCCCCAATTCGGTTTCCTTTTACAGGGAAGCCTGTCCACCCTGTATAACCATCGTCGCCCTTAATTTTTCTCGAATCCTAGGACCCTCCCCAATCCATAAAAAAGATATATACTCTAGATCATTGTACCCTCCAGGGATCAAAAAGTCCGATCGAGCGTGACCGAACATCAGCCCTGTAAAAGGAAATTGGATCGGTTCAACGTTTCGAACAGCCCTGAATAATTTATAGCCACTTACCGATCCGTCGATGCACTGTTAAAAAAAAAAAGTATCGTAGTACACTGTTAGAAAAAGAAGAGATATACTAATTTTATAACATATTTTCTATGAAAATTTCCAACACAATGTACACAACGTAGAACGCAAATGTGTCGATTTTCCTGCACAATTTCCCAGAATCCCGACATCATGTTATAAATGTATAAATTACCTTAGAAATCTGAAATAATCGTACTCTAATCCACTTTTGAAACATCGAATTTATAACTTTAGCACAACCTTGTGATAGAACCATTTATGACGTCTAAAAATTGAACCAGTCTACATTTATTATAAATTTCTGAATAGATGTATAATCTTATAATGTCGCGTTAGAATTCCGTGAAATTGTGTAGTAAAAATTAATACACTTACGTTCAAAATTTATAATACACGTATAAAATTAGTACATCATGTCTGAGTAAAACTTTCGATAAGGAAATAAAATTACAATATTTTTTTTTTAACAGTGTAGGGTCGTTGCGTGTGACTTCTCTCGGGGGTGGTGCAGCCACCTTAGAAAGAAACGCCTTTGAATGCGAGCGAGCCGGGGATTATTATTGAGGGTTCTATTACACATATATGAGCGATCACCCTGTGATGTCTTGTGTTGTGCTGCGTCGTCCGGACGGCTGTGGGGGATGGATTTAAAACGACGTCGATGGGGATGACGGGGTCTAGGGTGCGCACAGTCCTGGACCGCGCGCTCTCTCGATGGGCGTTTACCCCATACAGAGCATTTGCTCGCAGATCCTTGACGTGCCCGACGTAAGTACCGACCGAAGATGTACAAAATTGGCCACCCGGGGACAACCCGGGGCCGATCCCTGTATGGCAGAACCCTGGCATGTCAATATTTATATTTACATTTTGTTGTCGCTCTCGGTGTACTCGCTGGCTCGCATAGATGTACCTTTCGACGCCGACAACTCGTCCGGCAACGGTAGCTTGGTTGTCCTCGGTTTTACCATGGAATTTTGAAAAGGATGAATTACAAAAGAAAGGTGGTGACGTTCAAGGCCACCTCGCTGAATTTTAGGGAATTTGGATCTTGGAAGAAATTCGTTACAAGGTTCTTTTTTACGCGAAACTTCTGAAGTCGCGGTAGTGCACGTAAGTTCACACGTTAAAAAGGGGGAGCGTATCGAAAAGTAAATGATTTATTTATTTATTATTTTTTTACCGATCATTACTATTTTTAGTTATCTCTGTCTGAAATAACTGGTATCGAAAGTGGAAGGGTACTATTTGAAAGAATAATTAGGAATAATGAATTATCTCATTTAACTTGAAAGTTTCATTTTTATCGCGCATAGTGGCCGTGCATCAGTTTTTAATTAATTATTTGAAGTGGAGATAATTTGAGCAGGATCCATGAATTGCATATTGATAAGTGTAAGATAATACAGATTTTTATTTCTTTAAGATTCATAATTTATTATTGATATTGAAAGTGGTATGAAAGGTTTGGGAAGGTCAGGGTCTAGGAAAGAAGGGTATTCGTGGGGATGTTAAATATAAAACACTGCGGAAGTGAATAAGGAATTTGAGGTGTTGATAAATTGTGATGGATTGGGCGATCTTTTTTTTTCCAAGGTGTTTCAGAGGTTTTGGTTATTTTGGGGTGATCGAGTGGCCTCGAGATTGGATATCGGGGACGAAGAGATGTTTGTGTAAATGTTTCTTCGCGGTAAGACGTGGGTTTTTGTGGGTAGGATTTTATAGAGTGTGAAAAAAAGGGATGTGGAGATGATTTGTCAGGAGGGAAGAAGGTCCAAATTCTCCAAAGGGCAGCTCTGGCTTATTACGTCACCTTAAAGCGATGTAAACTTGCGATCGATTTGACAAGAATTTTAAAATAAATTAGATTCAATAATCATACTAGATATTAGATTACGAATGAAACGTATCTGATAATTTACGAGTAGGTTCACGTCAATACAAACCGAGGACAAAACATTTGGTGTAATTTTAGTATCTGTTTTGTGTACGAGGAAAATTATTATTCGAGTCCGTTCAAATGATTTTATTTCTCGTTGCAAGGTTACGGCAATATTTTGCTTCTCTTCAACAATGCCAGCAGATGTCCATGACAAATGATTCGGATTAGTGTCGTCTCCAAATATTTTGACGTTCTATTTTTTTTTTTTCTTTCTTTCCGTGGAGAATGTCGCATTGAAATTACATTTCACATGTCCGCGTTTTGCCCCAGCCAATTTTAGTTCTTAACTCTTATAATTTAAAGTTTTAAGTACATAAAGTTATGCAAATCCATCCTCGTTACTTTCTTCGGTAAAGCGTAGAGTAGAAAACTCGGAAAGACCGTAAGAAATAGCCGATATAAGTAATTAAGTTGAATAGTTGTACCTGTAAAAATAGTTTTCAGTAAGTTCTTTTAATACTGCCTGCTCTATCCATTCCCACTGTATATAGCAAAAAAAAATGGTAGAAACATATTTCACGCAATATCTACGATTTCATCGTGAGTTTTCTCTTTACTTTTTACGCTCCCCCACGTGGAGCGGTTTGCAGGATATTCTTGTCTCGATATATTTCCAGTTGAAAGGTCGAAGTCATTTCGTGCCTCCTACAGAGTTGCCAACCCCCGTCGCCTTGTTTGTACAATTTGCCCTGTTATATCACGGCCAGGATCGGCGAAAACCACTCCAAAATCGTATTTCCGTAACACGAGAACCACGAGGATGATTTCCTTACTGCCTGCGGTATTTCTCCCGTTATTTACCCTACTTTTACCATTTCCGTTAGTTCTCCACCGTTTACATTAATTACATTCTTCACGATTATATTCTATTACTAACTCACAATTTGTTTTTAATATTATAAAAGAAGAAAGAGAAAAGAGTGTCCTGCCATATTTCCTCATGCGAAGTGCTTCCGGCGCAGCTTTCATCGCGCACCCTTCCTGCAATTGCGACCGTCAGAGCTATCCGTTCATTAACGTCATTAACGTCATTAACATCACTAATACCGCGGTTATTCACTCCAGACTTTCGTGAAATTGTGTTCCACCTTGTGCTCGCTGCACGTTTGCTCGTTGTTGCATGCCGAACGTTTTCTGGGTTTATGACGAACGAATCAGCCAGCATGACGGCTTCTACCTCTGAGTGCGGCTTGACTTTTGGTTTGCAAAGTGTTGTTTCTCCTTTCTTTCTTTCTTTTTTTAATTCTTAATACGTAGCCTTTAGTTGTATTTACATTTGGCTCCATTCAGCTCGTTTGGTCTGTGGTGTTGGTAGAAAAGGATTAATCAACGAAAAAAGCGCCTCGAGAGCTCACCTGTAAATTAGGTAGGACTTCGCAGCGGCGGATCTTTTCCGTAATCACGCAAGAATGATCGAGGTGCTTCTTTCCTGAAATTCAAAATACTGGTTTAGACGAACATCTTTTTTTATTCTTATATTCATAGTAAGAAGTCAATCTCTTATCGCCGATGTAGCATAGAGTACAGAAAATCCGCCTCGAAGGTACGTCGATTGAAAGTCGCATCTTTTTTTTTTCCTTTTTTTTTGTCCCCCATAAAATTTGTTTCGGAAATTGATTGTCTCGGGTTATCTCGTGAGGATCACCACGGTGATGGCGAAAACGTAAGGAGAGCGGCGGCTTTTTATGATTTTTATTTTATTTCTATTTCTCCTTTTAAGGCCCGAACGCCTCACTCTCGGACCTTGCGCTTCCACACGTTTTTTTATCGTTGACTCTTTTTATTTTCCTTTCAGCCAGGTCTTGATCGAATTTTCGCAGCCAAGCGCATGATCTGTCGCTCGTTGTGAATTACTCTATAAAGCGCGTACTTGACGCGAACTTTGGCAAATAAGCGGCGTTGACGAGTGCGATGGCTGTCCATCGTACGAATCAGCTGGAGAATCGCCGCCCGACGAGATATCTCTACTAATTTCCGTCGTCCTCGTTCCACAGTTGTTCACGCTGTGGTCGTGGTTACCGGTGAGGATCACGATGTACCAGCCGATTCTGCTTTACACCACGGAGGAGCACGGATGTTCCCTCACCACGTTCTACGTGCGCGTGGAACAGCACGAGCCGACTCTCCTCATGATCAAAACCTGCAACAACGAGGTATCTTATCTATTTATATATTATTCTACACTTATTGCTAGAATTACTGCAAAAAAGAGATCGCTATAGAGATAGAGCTTAAATTTATACGCATACACAACCGCTCTTACATTCTGGGACACCTCTTGACCGTACAAGACGGCCATAAAATGTATCAATTGTTCAATTTGTGAAGTAACTTATTTATTAACATATTTACTAGTTTACCAAGTTTTGACGAATTTGGTCAAGTATCCTGAAGTGTATGAGCGGTGTGTATATATATATTTTTTTTAATTATGTGGATACGAAGTTTTGGTTGCATTAAAGAAGTTATACCCATTGTTATTCGTTGGTTTTTAAGGTGTTTGGTGCTTACTGCTCGACGAGGTGGTGCGAGCGCAATTTGAAGGACGACAAGGGCCAAAGGCAGGCGTATTTCGGTACGGGAGAAACATTCCTGTTTAGCTTGTATCCCGAACGAGCCAAATATCCGTGGGTTGGCATGGACTCGTCGCACAATGATCCCAGAGTACATCACTCTGCTGAGCTCTTCATGGCCGCTGACGCTAAGATGATCACCATCGGTGGCGGGTACGCCCTTTCGGGTTTCCGTTCACCTCTAAGTAACAAAACCCCAAAAAAACATGTGTCCATAAGTCCTTGCCAGGTTGCCACTTCTTATTTTTATGTCAACAATTTATGCCGAACGAATCAATTCGAACAAGGACCGATGGACCAAGTTAGAGAGATGGGTGACTATGTTAAGACCTCTATTTTGCCTTGTTTCGTTAAAACGCGTTTCTTTTATAGGGATGGTCAAGCGATTTGGATGGACGAGAACATAAGGTTCGGCAAGACGGATCGATGCTCGACATTCAACAATCCGCCGCTGTGTGCGAGCGGTGACTTTGAGATTAGGGTACTGGAGGTATACGGTTTCGCCGGTGCTTAAGGAACGCGGTGTCCCGTGGCCTTAATCAGATTCCCTTACTGCCATTAAGCAACTCTCTGTATACCTTCTCGTCTCGTCGTCGTGATGTGTCGTTGACGCGGGCGCGAGTACCCCGTGTGGTACCCCCGCCCGCTTAAGAATAATAAGTATTACTGTGCGTGACCGTTCGCTGTTTGTTAATATCGTTATAATGCTTTACATATATGGATACGTGTCGTAGAGATTTGCATTAGAGTGCCGACGGTGATCCGTGTGATGTCATGCCTACGGACGGATATCTCGAGGTCGCTCTGTTAGGCCGCACCCGTTGCTTCAAGGGGTGAACCTAACGTTACTGGATCCAGGTGGTTCCTTACTGTATCAGGAAATGTTTCACACACGTGATTAATATTTAGAGTGCAAAGCGAACCGAAGAAATTCAGTTACCTAGAATGTTCTGCAATCTCCTTAACCCTCTATAACAAGACATGACTTTGAAGTCGCATACCCATGTATCAACATTTTTTTCTTAAGTCTGACCGTTCCGGTATAATGTACCACTTTATTATCATACTTCTCCTTTGTAACCAGGGAATCTGTTTACAAATCATAGATTTATATACATTGACTTATAAACATATATATAAGTGGTCAATTTATAAACGAGGAGTCAATGTCAGAAAGTGAATATTAGCGAATTTCACGTTTTATCGTTTTTTTTTTTTCTTGTAAAGGGTTTGGAGAAGATATTGGGTTACAAAGGGTTAGGTCGCACAACTTTCGCTCGAAACATTTCCTGTCGCGAATATTAGAGGAGCCGTTTGGAGTGGTGACGATAAACGATCCACCCTGTACATTTCGTTATCACCGGGTATGGACACCGGACGCATTGCAAGCATTCTATACATTGTGCGCAAGTGGACTTTGGTTCTTTCCATCTAGAGTTATGCTCGGAGAAAATTTCAATTGGCACCACTTTTGCTGCGGCCAATCGGCGTCTTCGCTCCGTGACGTCACGCGGCGCTGAATGGCCGACGGCGAAGTCGCGAAAAATTGTGCCAACCGAATTTTCTCCTGGCCAATTTCACACCGAGGAAGAAGTCAATGACCACTTGCACACGCGTCGCACGCATTGCACGAGGAACTAGACATGACAGATCTTGCGTTGACTTTACGATTCACAATCCGTAATCATGATTATCCTGTGTTGTTACTGCGTTGCTACGAACGATAACCGTGCGGTAACAATATCGCGAATCCAGTCAGTCGGGTGTCTCGACTGTGGGAGTTATTTGCCTGTTGAATTATCTTATCGTAATTTGGCTTCGGTTTCGACCGATATACCAGGGAGAAGTATGTTTACGTTTGATTATGTCGAGTACCCTTGGGGACGGTGTTCATTTTGCAATGGAACGGGCAACTGAATCAGTGACGGCCATTTTCTTCTTTTTCCTTTCCGAAGAACGCTGACATTTCACTTGGAACGTGAAATTGTTTAGGAAGGGTGGAAGCTACGATACTTTTCAATGTAAAGAAATTATGTTCCTTTTCTGAGAGTCCATGACGGATATTGGTAATGTCTCGATGCGAGCCATTAGTTATAAATCTTGACATGCAATAATTTGCCACATTGTCAGTCGAACTTTGTTTCTTTTATTTTTTTCTTTTCTTTTAAGGTGTCAGCGCACTTTACGATATAACATTCATGACACCTAATATATGTTACATCCTCAGGACGAATTTTTACATACGCTCAGTGTTGATGAAAAATGAAGACACACCGAAGACTTGGTTATATTAATTAACATGACGAATTGCGGGTGCACCGTAGCTGCATGTACTAATACTTTCTTTTACATCGAATAATTCAGTTTACAAATTATTCATTACGGAACCTTGCCAGTAATCTTGCGGCATAAAATGAATTATGTCTAAACTGGAGAGGAACTCTTTGCGAATAGCTCCCTTCGAATTGTTGACGAAACTTTGTCTCGTATAACAATGAGAGATGCCCTTTCCTTTGCGGAAGTTTTTACGATCGAACAGCACGTATTCTCGCACGGCACATCATTCATAGGGCGACAAGAAGAACAAAACATTGACAATAAACACGAGCCGCTTAAATCATACAAAAAGTTCGGTAGTAGCATACATCGAAGGAAAAACAGAGAATTCAGATTCACATGAATACTTAATATTCATTGGACCGAGAATGACGTGTTATACAATTGTACATAATTGTTTCACCTTGTGTATCGTTACTTTGCGATTATCTTTAACGTTTGTATAAACGTGTTGCCTCGTTACATTTATTTAATTTAGCGCCGTTACGTATAGTTTTAATCCGTTAGACGATTTGCGTTATCGCGGTGTCGTACACATAGGTACGTACACCTCACATGTACACATATTTATGTCTACGTACGTATGTGTATGCACCAGCAGAAGTATATATATATATAGATGCATATATATATATACACGTATACATATTCACACGCACGTACGTGCTTTATATATTTATGTACCGGTTCTTGTATATATTATAAATATTGCTCTTGGGTAAGTAGTTAGTACAATCGGATACATTGTGATCTATGGCCAATGACGCGGTTAAGTACGAGAGATTCTAGAGTTCGGTAATAAACGAGACACTAGGCAAACGATGGGATATTTAGGAGTCGATAAGCATATTCGTTTTTATCAACGCCGGTTTTTATAACACATCGGCAGGACGCAATGTAGTCGCATTGAGCAATTCCATGTTATTTGAAAATATCCGTCGACGTCGGTGCAGAAAATGATTCACCTTAATTTCGTTTAGCACTCGTAAAAGATTGTGCAAGCTGAAACAAAGATAAGACCTGCATTTGGCGCAGTTGATAATAATAAAGAGACGAGGAGCGTCTCAGACAAGTTGATGATTTTTTTTTTTTATTAACCATTGTCTAAAATGTGGGAGAACACAAAGTCACGTCTTATCCATGAGCAAATTTATCACTAATTAAAATTTGGTTTGTTCTCCTTGATTGTTAATCTTGATTTCGCTTAACAACTTACATATCAATTGTTCAACGTGTTCTATGAGAATACAACCATGAGCTTTCAGTTGAATTGACTTTCAGGGTGAATATGTTTAGCGGCTCTAAATAGTCAGGGCAATAATGTAATAAATGTAATAGTGGGATGCGAAGAGTCATACGCTTCGATACTTTATGCAATAGTGGCTGCAAACGTTAGTATTTTCCTTTCCTTCTTCTTCATTTTTTTTATTTTGCACGGTTTAACCGATTGCCAAGCAACGCAGGTTTTTTTCTCGGCTATCGGACGAGACTCGACCGTAGCTTTCGATTACGATTTTACTTTCATTGTCGTTATGCCCCATCTTGCATGGTGTATCGTTATGTGTCGAATTTTGCGTTCAATATTGTTAACACATCACATGCGGGTGGCTGGCACCACTATTTTTCATTTAGACGGCAGTACGAGCTGTTTAAATAATATTCGAGTTAAATTCTACTTCTTCCCCCGGAAGATAAAAAAAAATCCAAAAGTGGGAACAATATCGATATCGCGTAGTCGCGAGAAAAATCCGGTGTTAAAGGCGCTGAAAGATTATTTCACCCTTTCCCAGAAAGGTGGACACGCAACATGTACAATTTGCATCGTTAGATACCCGTGCTACTAGGTTTTATTATTACGTTTACCGATTTGTTCGTGCCATTATTTACTTTAAATGCCTCTCCACGCTACTCTGAAAGACTTTGAAGAACACGGACATCGGAGAGAAAATGGATTTGATGCAGAATGAGTCTTATGTTGCCCTTTGCTAAGACATTAACAAAAAAAACTTTCCTGTTGTATCACATCTGATGTTATGAGTACCATTAAATGTAATATATATATATATATATATGGCATGTTTTATATAAAATATCAGGTTATATTAAAAAAAAAAAAAAAGTAAAAGTAAAGGAAGAAAAACACCCTGTGAAACTGATTGTGACCTTAGAGTTTGTTTTTATTAAATTGATGTTATTAGTTGCCCTCAGGACATTCAAATAGTTTGGTGTATCTCGCATTCTTGCCTCGAAACGTTTCTTTTGAGCAACATGAAACTCTGGGTGGAAGTCTGTCAATCTTTTCTCAAAGAAATCGATCCGGTTCGTACGTTACTTTTAACGGCCATCGTCGAGACGATTGCGAAGAACGAAATGATCGTCTAGTGGCCTATGCGAATTTCTATTAACCAAACTAAAGCGGATCGTGGTGCTTTAATTTCTATTGTAAATAGGCAAACGTCTGTAGACGCACGTCGAATAAACGCGGCTCCTCGTCACATTAGATATTCTCGCAAGATTAATACAGAAGAAAATTCTAACGATAAATTCTGACGACCAATCTTTCCTATTCAATAAACAAATCACACATTATGTCGATGGTTCTGTAATGACATTTAATTGATACATTAGTTCTTGCCACTTAAAAGTCATTAACACTAGCGACATAAATATAGAGTAAGATTCCATTTAAAAAAAAAAGAAAAAAAAAACGAAATACCAATTTCAAACCTAAATTTAGTAATGTTAAAGTAGCAAACGTAGCGTCTAAATTAGACATATTGAAACACCTTTCAGAGTACGTACAGAAATGATTTATTATTAGGAGTTCTTGAGAATTTCTGGCAGTAATATCTAACCGACACTTCATAAAATATTTCTCCGTAAGTGGTGTCCATTGTTTCATTAGACAATTTTTTTTTCCGTATCTAGTCTTCCAATTTCGAGATGTAATCCCATGGGCTGAGGGAGTGGAATGGAAATACAGCTCCTGGAAATTAATATACACGATGAAAATCGGGGAAAAGTGAGAATTCGTGTGGCGAGGAGTCGCGGGATACATATATACGTACCTGGAAAAAGCGAACGTTCGAAGTGGTCTAACGAACAAAAGTGCCCGAAAATCGGGCACGCTTAGCTCTTTCGTCCTCTCCTGTTTGTATCTCCTCAGTTTGTAGGTCGGTTTAAGTTGTACCTCCTTCCTCGATACGGAAAATACTTCTTTCTGGTCGTGCGATCGGGTCACTCGCCTCGCTGCCGTAGCATGCTGCGCTCTTACGTTATAAGTCACGTTTGGTTACAAGATAATACGAAATTTCCCGATACTATTGTTGGATCGATGTCCGATGGTGCTTAGGGCTCCAGGCGGTACAAGTGGAAACTCGAAAACATACCTAATCAGGTTAAAGTTGCGCGCATGGTGAATGACATTTGCCGCTTCGTGCGCGGAGGGAAATTCCTGACAAAGGTCCTTGCCAAAGTTTGTATCAATGGTCGTTTGTATGACAGTCACGACTCGTACTATCGATACGCCGCTCCAAGAGCGGAATCGAATTTTAAACCGAAAAGTAACTTGCGAATGCGCTCCGAATATGTATTGAATGATGAATAGGCTAAGATCTAGTTATGATCTTTTTGTTATCAATTTTTCTCTGCGCACGAGAAGCTTTTCGGCCGCGCGATCGCCGAGCCACGTAAACGGGCGTTGTAAGACAACGTTAAACCAATAGCCTTTTCTAATTGTTAATTGAAAGGAGGGAGAGATTGTGTAATTATTTCTCAATTGGATGGCGGTAAGCAATAATAAGAGGGAGTGTTGAGGAAATGCGGGGAACTTGACCCTTGCTTGCGATTGTTAGCGTTAAATTAAAATCGAGTACAGAGCAAATTCGGTAGCTACTAATTGTTTATATGAAAACCGCAGGGACTATATTCTTTTTTTCTTTCTCTCCTGTAAATGGAATATACGTTTAATCGCGCTGCCGGTGTTTGCTGGATTGAGTTCATACTGAAAAATGAAACGTGCCGAGATTTAACCGCATTTTCACGGGAGATTTTTCAAACTCATATGTCAGGTGATCGTTAATTACAGTGATTAAATGTACCAGTTAGGACCTTTTTGCGGTAAAGCGACAATGACAATGGAATTACGATTTGCCAGTATTATCAGAGAACCGAGACAATCATTTTCGATCACTACCTAGAACGAGTTTCGCATAAAGTCACACTTTTTGTGGTAATTCTAGCTTGTAATTTAGCTGCTTATCGCGGTTATTAGGCAACCGAGAGGTGAGATGCAAAAACGCTTTAAAGGCCTTTATGTTGACACCGAATACGACTTTGTGAATGTTTCTGGGAACTGATCCATCATTTTCTTATTTTGCGACGTGCTTTCATAGGGAGTCAATGAAATTCTTGCCGGATGGTGTTTGGTTTGTAGAGAAAATGCAACGTGAAAGATACATTTTAATAATATCATCCTCTTCATCGATATTCTGGTCTAGCAGGACGATTTCACTTTTCAATATTGTCGTGGGAGGATATTTTTGTCGGAAGTTTCGCCAAGACATTCGGAAGATTAACGATAATACCGATAAGGCCCGTTTTAACGGCTCAGCTTTGGCGATTTCGGCCGAACGACAGGCTCGAAAAACGAAATTACCTGCGAGCTTACTTGTACGCATGATCTCATACGGCAGTGACTATCGAAAAGTATTATATTATATACATATATACGAGTACATTCGATTTTTACCGATATATACCCCCCACATAGGTGAGCTCTTCGAAGCCACGACCGCAGTGAAACGAAACCGCAGATGAATCCGCTTCTCAGCTCCTTGCCTGACTTTTAAGTGGCCCGAATGTTTCTTGCAGGCGTTAACGTCCTAACAATACTCCATAGAAAAACAAAAAAAATTGAAAAAAAAAATGTAAAACTCGGTCGAGACGATCGCTCGAAGGTGCGAGGTTTCTTTTTCGTGTACTAGCAGCTTTCTCGGTCCTCCCGAGGGATAGTACGCAGCAACGCTTATTAAGGAAGTCGTGTACCTTTAGCTCATAATCAATAAGGACTAAGTTATGTTTCGCTGTTGACAATGGAATGTTATAGTCATAGAGTAACTAAGAAGCCAACACGAGGCACGCTATTTCGTATAACGAAGGAAGGATATATTCGATTTCTGAACGTAACGTGGAGTACGTCCGAACACCAATGATGGGCAAACCATCGTCCTAATCTAAAGAAAAATGTCGAATTTTGTACAAGTATTTTTGACTCATTTATGACACAGGACACTTCTATGCATAAATGAATTACTCTAAGGATGATTGAAAGTATCGCTTGTACTCTAAACACGATTTTTTTTTCTGGCGCGGAGGAAACCATGACTTAAAATAGCCGATTCTATGAGATTCAATTATGAATACGATAAGTAAATATTTGCGTTACAATTAATATGCAAAATGCCGCCTTAAGCGGTTTCGTTTCAAGGAGTGCCCAGCATTGGGGACGACGTACACACGATACGTTTTATATACATAAATATATATATACCATTTAAATATAGATACGTATGCACATATACGTAGACACGAAACGTAGGTTACGGAGGCGCGTTATCACTCCTCAATTGTTATATCGTAGGTCGTGTATGATGTCTGCATGAGTGTGCAAGCGTGTATGTGCGTGCGGTCGGATTTCTCGAAATAACTCGCGAGCCGGCCCGATGGCTCTCTGTGGTTCCCTTCGGATTTTGTACATATATTATATATATGTTATATATATATGCGTGTATATATATATATACATGCGACGTACGAGCCTCGGCGATTATTTATCTACCTTGCAGATGTACCAAAATACCTTGGATATAGGATTCCGATGTACTCGGAAAGTATTAACGTCGAAAGTTTGTTACATATAGCCGGTCGAAGTAGCTTGATAGCGCACGCGGAAATAATATATATTATATATTATATTAAATATATATAGCGAGGAAGAGAGTGATGAGCACGCGAGAGGGAGAGAGATAATAAACGTAATCAAATGGAATGTTGCCCGGCTTTTTTTGTTTTTTTCGTTCTCGACGCCTCTCGGGCGTCGTATACCGTTGCACGCTAATGCGAGACTGCGCTCGTCAATTTATTGTTGTTGTCGTTGGTAGATTTATTATCGCGCGTACGTCCCGTTGTTTTAACCTCGGTGCGCTTACGACTGTACAAATACGACTCCGTGCGTAGACCCTGTAACCTGTAACGCGTTTCGCCGAGGAACGCCTCGGGCCTCCGGGAGCGAAACCTCCCTCGGAGGGTCTCCCTTAGCTTTGCAAATAAATAATCGCTCTTCTGAGGGAGAAAGACAGATCGCTGGTGGCTCTTATTCCGTGTGTTGGGTTTTGGACGGAGATTACAATTTTGGGGCGGGTTTGTTGAGTCTCGGGCTCCCTCGGTGGTGAGGTAGTAACTGAAAATTCGGACATGTTAGTGTTAAGTTTAGGGGGTGCCATAATCCGTATATTTTCTTTCATTTCAAGATACTTATTATTTTACATCGTATTTTATTATGTACTATTATATTTATCATGCTGGGGGGCCTTTTATTTGTTCCATGTCCATTTTTGAGTTACCCTTCGCTCCGTATTCGACATTTAAGAAGCTCTTTTTTGAGTGAATACTGAGTTTATACTACATTTAGTGTGATAGTTTCTCCAATAAAATGTATCCTTAACATGGACATTTTCAGTGGAAGTAAAAAGTAGGAAAAAACACTTTCTTGAAGGGTGCGTATGAACCTGAAATTAAAAAGAAGAATGACATTCGTAGATGTTGAACTTTCGATTAATAAAAAAAAGGGTTTTGAATTTGGAGCACGGAGTAAAAAGTTATTCAGGAAATGAGTCTTGAACAAAAGGTGCATCCTGTTATTTGAAATGTTTCGTATGGGTGGGATTTCTCGACATGAACTAATTTATATACATTGCAAGAGGTGAATTGCACGATGTCAGTTATTAAATCCATTTTATTACACTTCTCGCTAATCCGAAAAATTGAACGCCTCTTGTTGGACTAGAGCGCGTCACTCTATCGTTGTAAAATAATTTATTACAGTCGCCGAGCCGTCGGTACTTTTTAATTTCGCCCGAGGTTCGCTTACTTCTGACGAGTGGAAATTTATAGTAAACACGTCGGTCATCGATAATTAACGGTTCATTTCTTGCGGATGAATTTACGGACATTGATATTTATTATCTCTGCTCATACGCAGTACAAACACCCGAGGGAATTTTACTGTGCTAGACTTGCAATATTGGAAAACCATTTCACGTATTGCCTGAATACCATTAAATGAATATTCATTCAATGCGAGTATTCTGGCTATTGAAGTAATTCAATCGAAAACGGTAATTATATGGAATGCTCGAATTTCCAAAAAAAGCCTCGTTAACTTTGTTCTCGTTTATTCCTGTTATTTGATCCCGCTGTGCCTTCGGGATATAAAACCATTATAAATCCTGTAACTTTCCAAAATGTATAAGTATTTAGTTCAAGCATCGTTGAGCATGCATATAAATTAATATAAGTAATAATTACGGAACTACGAGTCACATGTGAAGGGCAAAAAAGTAATTAATTAATCTTATAATTTCTAGTTCAGGGGAAGTGACGCCAAACGTGGGAACAAAAATGACGGCCATGACACTTTCAGGGAATTCTTCCCGCTGGTCTCTTGAGAGACACCTTTAAACGCCGTACTTTCATGAAACACCTCGCGGCGATTTGTGCTCGAACTACAGAAAATCGAAGGTGTTGGCATCACTGAGAGTAATTTACCAATGGCGCGAGTGGTACATAATTAATAATTACATATACAATTCCTATTGCCGGTAAAGTGAGGCCGAGCGCGGGAACCAAAATGGCGGCCATGACACTTTCAGAGAATTCTTCATATGGAGCTCTCTTCGAAGACTCGTTTAAACGCCGTAATTCCATGGAATTCCTCACGGCGATTCGGGCTCAAACTGCAGAAAGTCGAAGGTGTTGGCACCACTGAGAGCGATTAACCAAAGGCGCGAGTGGCATATAATTAACGAAGCGGCGACTTTGGTACCTTCCGGCCTCTGTCAGGTCTCGCGGGACGCTCGACTCGCCACGTCGGCCGATCGTCCCTGCGTTTCCAAATGACTTATGACTCGCAGTCTCTCGTTAAAACCCCACGCGAGCGGTATTCCTGCTACGCAGGTAAACCCCCTGAGGAACTTGACACAAGATTTGACAAAAAAATATCCTCCGTGCGATATCTACGTACACGACTGGGAAAGCCCTCTAGATATCTCAACATGTTAGTTGAAAAGTTTCAACGAGAGTTTTTGAATAAACCTCTTGGAACGAGCAATCGCGCCTGGAAGACCAACTTATAAAATGACTGCAAACCCCAGGAAAAATTCAGGTGAGAATTAAAATCTAAGCGTTATTTAATCAGCGATAGTTCGTATTCCAAAACACGCTTTTTTATTTGCTCTGTATTAAGAAGGTTTTAATACAAATTAATATACATTTCGGTACGAAGTAGTTTAGATTCCAGAGAAAACTTGAAAATATTTTCTCATGATTTTCATGGACTTTGCACGATAGTCGTCGATAACTGTACATGATTGATGCCGTATTTCTTCCACATTGGGAGAAATTTTAACGGCACGTTTCATTCATAATTAGATAATGAAATAGTAAAATTGATATCCGGAACAACGCGCACATTTCACCACCCCAACGATAAGACCCACTACCGCTTCCGTTCCGATATCGAATAATCAATGGCTGAAGCGTCCGGAAAGTGAATACGTAAAGCAAGGTTCGCGTTTCGTTCCAATTGCACTTAATTCGAGAAAACGAAGCAGATATCGTCAAGAGTGACGTTTCAACAGGACAAGGTTCGAGGCCTGATGGAACGTAATTGCCCAGCTTGTAATCTTCACAAAGATCACATTAAAGGGTAGATCGAACTATTAATAATCATTTCTTAGAGGTTCCGAATTAGAAGGCAGATTCTTGAAGAATATAAATTATCGCAACTGGTTTAATGAAAATACTTTCTAAAGTGAAACTTCTTATGGCAACGTAGTACGTGTAAGTTCGAATTTTATGAAAAGCGCCAAATCCGAAAAGTGAGACGCTTTTTTTACGGTTAATTATTATTTACATCTTTGTGTTCTAAATTTGAGACAATTAGCGCAATCGTTTACGTTAGTGCTATTTAATTTTAATCTGTTGTCTAAGAAGTCAATCAACGGTTGAATTTTTGACTCGACAAAATTGACATAAAAATCGCTCATTATTATTAGTATCTCATCCCCATTCGTTTCTTTATAATTACTATGTATATTTTTGCGTTAGTATGTCATTCTCTCACTTAATTATTAACACTCAGAGTTAAATGAAATATGTACAAACAAAACGATTTCATTTAATATAAATTTTGTAGTACATGCGTCCTCGTCAGACAGACTGAAAAGAAACAGGGGATGTTGCAAGGAGAACGAAATTTTGCCATTACCCCAATTACGGTAACTGTAACAGCAATCACAGGAATATAAAAAGTCGTCGGAGTTATGATTACTCTTCCAAGAACTTCATACATACAGTCGGATTCAAGTAGAAAGTACTGTACCGAGCAAGATCGGTGTTAAGGTTCGCACTTCGATTTTACGAGCGCATTTTTTGCTATCCAAAAGCAATGGTAATATTTTAACGTAGTTTTACGCCGTATAAAGATAACTTTTAAAAATATCAAATAATCATCGCGACCCAAATGTTACCATTTTAACCGCTATAGAAAAATCAACGGCAATCGTGTGGATAACAATAATTTTACAGAGAAATGCACGTGGCGAATAGGATATTCTTTTTCTGGAGCACGTAGCATTCTCTATAAAAGTTTCGTCCTTACTCGTAGGACGGGTTTTCCGTTTACCAAGTTCAGTGATAACATCTGTTAACGTCAAGGTAGGAAAAAGCGAGAGGAAAGTCGACTAGGCTCGAATCGCCTTTGCTAAATCGCGTAATAGAACGGGTATCCATCTTTGGATCGAAGTCTTGTTTACAGTCTTTCTTGCTCGCAATGCTGTTCGACGACTCGACAACGTGACATTAAATAAAAAATATCGTCAATAATTAATCAAGCCACTGCTGAGATGAATCTTCGCATAACGAACTACAGACATGCGCTAAATTCGTCACTTATCGCCACCTATTTCATTATAATTAATTTTTCTCGAAAATTCGGGTCAAAGTTTATGGTCTTTCTTGCCCGCGATTCTGTTTAACGACTCTATGACGCGACATTAAATAAAAAATTGCGTCAATAATTAATCAAGCCACTGCCAAGATGAATCCTCGGACGTGCTGCAAACATGTGCTAAAATTCGCTGCCACTTATCGCTACTTATATTATTATGTATAATTTTTTCTTTAACAATTCATAGAGAACGTTAATTCTCGAATTTTAATTTCCCGGCCTAATTAAGCCCCGATTGTTAAATGTGCACGTACATCTTTGGGTTTACGTGTCGAAGAAGGCCTCGGGGAAACAATGCCCGCGATACGTGCTGAGAATAATAAAAGACCGATATTCTCGTAGCAGTCCTTCGGACTTTCGATCGCATTCGACAATGCAAGGCGATTCGTTACAACGAAAAATATAGCTTGGCTCGTTGCATTTCGGTTACTTTTAAAAGACACGGCTTTCTGAAGAATTTGTCTTAAAACTATTCTTAATGGAAACATTTGTCTTAATAATATTCTCAATGCAAGAATTTCTCTTAATAATATTCTGAATGCTCCCAACGTGATTGCCACAGTGCGAGGCTACATTTTCTCCAGACATTCTACAAATCGCGCGGTTAAAATGACTCACAAGTTATCTCAAAGAACGTGTCATTAACAGGAGTTCTTGTACGGTTAATAATTTTTTTCGAAACGCGTATAGAATTGTTACACTAAGAAGAAATCTTGGATCGAAGTTGCAAGGTGACCCTCGAGTGCACTATCTCGCACCGTGCTTCTTTCCTTCGAGTTTTGTGACAAGACTGGAATGCGCGCTTAAATTTCATACACTAAGTAAAAAGCGTTGAAACTGCCATGTCAATGTTAACGCGATAAATTAACAACACGGGTATTCGGAGAAATTATTAATTATTTTGTGCCATCTAATAATTCCTTTCTTTCAGAAAACCACTCGTAAATGCAGCGACGAAGAGCCGGCGATCATCGCTCTTTCCGATCCTGGAGATTTCAACGATGGCGAATCAAGGCGTTATCCGGAACCAGAATGATGGTCTTCTGCAACCGACGCAGCCCTACCGGAGGAACAGCTTCGCTGCGGCATTCCACGCCAATTTCGCTGGTTTGGGGTCAACAATGTCCTCCGAAGGCTCTGCTTTCCAAGTAGTGGGATCGGCTCGAAGAAGATTCAGCAACGTCGGCATCGTCGTTTCCAGGAAGCTCTCTCACACCATAGGTTGGAGATCAGCCTCAGTTTCGACGGAATTGATAGTCTCTCAGGTGATGTAGCAGGAAGAAAAAGCATTAGAATTGCATGTATTGAAATAATTGGCAACAGTGATAACGAATAATGTGTCTATACCACAATATTTTATGTAATTAAACAAAAATGACTGAGAAAGAATTTGGTCATGGCTGCAAAAGTCGTTCATATCCTATGGTTGAACCAACGAAAGTTTTACTGCTGCGACCAAATATTTTCCTGCGTGTAAATATAGCTACGGATTTTCTAGGATTTTCCTTTCATCCTTGAAAATGTCTAACACAGATTTACTCGTTTTTCAGGGTTCCTTGTTATGTGGGCAATATATTCGCAATCGACTGAAGCGTTCCGGTATCTTCAACCGCAAATTAGGTTTAAAACGCATGAGGAGTGCCAAGGTACTTCCTGGAGGAGGCATCGTCGCCGAAGTATATCCCGTTCTGACGAGAATCGGAGTTGAGCTCGAGAAGATGCATCCGACTCTGTTCGTCAGGGTAGGGAGGCAAATCGGGTGCAGAGCCTTCACCACAGAACAATCCGCCTGCGAGGCGTTGACAGATGTCTCGAGAGAGATGCTGAGAAACGGGGAGATGACCTGGAGCAAAATCATTGCCCTGTATGCAGTCGCCGGTGGTATAGCCGACGACTGCGTTCGTCAAGGCAAACCAGAATTTCTGCCCGCGATTCAGCGAGGGATGACTGAAGTGTTGGAAGACGACCTAGCAACATGGATCCATGCCAACGGCGGATGGGTAAACATTGTTTCGTCACGATACAATCGAAAGATTAACAAAAATGAAATAATTCCCGCAATTATAAAGGTGATCTAAGCAAAAAAATCTAAAATAAATGAATTTATTCCATATTGCATATATTTTAAATTACAATAATGTGAATGTACTATGTTAGTGTTTCAACAAAAGAAATGACTTGGATCACTTTCATAATTAGGCACACATTTAAGGAATGATTTTCATGTTTAGGTATTAAATAGATTATGCTTACTCTGTGTAGATCATAGAAAGTTAAAATGTTCGGACTCTGACAAGATTTATATTTGGATATTTTCTTACAAAACAATCGTTGCCCTTGGTTCATCGAGGAGAGCCTAATGGAGGGCAGTGTTAATCAAACGTGCGCGTTATTGGTCCGAAGAGTCAGTTCCTCTTTGTCAAGGTATAAACTTAATGCTTAACGTTTCGTTTGCAGGGGGCATTGATAACGCGATACAGGCCCACCCCTACGAAGGCACCAACAAGGCAAACATTTCATGTCGTCCTGCTGCTCGTAGCAACGACGATATTCGTCGGAGCGATGTCCGTCGTCGTCAGATTGTTGATAACCTGGCGCTTATTGTCGTAAGAATCGCATTGTTAAGTTATTTATTTAACGACTCGGCCGCTCGACACTTTATCACTTCGCATGTCGGAATTAGTCACGGTGTCAGGAATGCAACGAAGGACCTGCTTAGGCGACCAATGTCACCGTGCCATTGCGTAATGACATTTTATCAGTTCTTGCAGTTGTAAAGTACCGCGCTCGTTTCCTTTGTATCTCGTGAATCTTCCACGTCGACTCGCTGTTACATTTCGCAAAATAGAAATACCGTATTGTCAGACAAGCGGATGTTCCTCGTTAAGACGGTACCAACTTCTCCGTTTCGGTGTCCGCTTTTTCTTGTTCCTCGTTTACGCGTAACTCCTCAGCAGACTCCTGACAATAAAAAAGACCAATAATCATTGCAAGCCTGCATAACGAGATAACTTAATTTTCGAATAGCCACAACTTCGTGAAATATCTTTACCTGTACTTTTTTCATGTTCGTTATCAGGGTGAGATAACTCTGGTTCGTCTCTTTTTTGTCAAGGACTCGCAGATATTCCTTCCTTGCAGCCAAGACCTCTTCCAATAGTTTCTTATGTCTAATCGCTAATTCCAATGCCCTATCGGTATAGATGGAACATTTCGAACCATGTAGACAGTGACGCAAAGCGTAACTTCATTAATGGTTTTTTTTTTATATATATATTTTATGGACTTACCTATTCCAGTTGTACATTTTTATATTCGTATTTATCGCCTCGGATACGAGACCATTCTGTAAGAGAATTCCTTCAGCGGCTAACAAGTCACCGGCCAGTAATGCCATCTCTGCCAACTTCTCCACTTTGTTGGGCAATCGCTAAGTAAATAATTCATGTAACAGTCGAGTGACAAGTCAAGGACCAACGTGATCTAATTCGTATGTTAACGGTTACCTTAATGTACTGTATGTAATCTACTTTATCGAATCTGTCTATAGCTGCGTACGCCTCTTCTGCAGCATTCAGGTCTTTGGCGTCCGTTGCCATAACAGCCATACATGTCCACAGAATTTCGTTCTGGAAATGTCAATTGCTATATTTAATTGTCTTAATTCCTCCTTATAAAATTTCACCGCATCATTTTGTACACATCTTATTTAACGATATGTATACGTATATTGTAATGACACATTTCCCGCCTTGTGGTAAAATCAAAAGTTATTGCTTTCTTACCTGTGCGATTCTGCAAACTGAAAGGGCCTCTTTCCATCTGTTGTTAATTATATGTTGATGCAGACTCGTGAAAAATGTATAAAAGGAGGAAACCACCAAGGCACCATCTCCTCTACGAACTGTGACCATACCATTGTAAACACTAATTACGCTCGGTTGCTTACCAAATTCGCTAAATAATTAATGTCGAATTAGTTTCAAACGAAAAATATGTTAAACGTGTTATTTCCACGTACCTATTTTCCTTATCAATTCTCGTTTTGCGTATCACTTTTCGATCACTGTAATGAACGCAATTTGGACACAACCAGACTGATAGCGTGGCATCCAACATCGCTGCCAAAACATTCGAATCGGTTGCCCAGGCAATGCTCTGTGCCATTACAGCTTAAACGATTAAAGGCATTATTAATTAATAAAAATAGGAAATCTTAGTAGTTTTATACAATATAATTATATACCTATTTTGCATACTCGACCAAATCCGCTGGTACGAATGGAAACCAAAAACAAATCCCTGTTCACATCAATCAGAGCTAATTGGCGATCGGTCACATTTCCAATATGGTTTAGTGCCAGACTTGTAACACTTTCTAAATGTGAATGCGAGTGTCCCTCCACGATGGGTTTATTATGAGATAATTCTAACACGTGCAGTACTGTAAAAACCAAAATGATACAGAATGGACATAAGAAATATTTGATTAAAAAAATATATAGTAAAGGTATACATTCTCCGTACACTTTTCGTTGCTCTGACTTCTGATAACCAGAGAATCTGAACACAGGGATATACAAGGAGGGTACAATGGTTCCTGTGTCATTCCCTTCCACCTTGGAGATCCCAAAAGACGGCCCTGATAATTGTACAAAGTAACAACATTCCATTCAACCAATAAAAAATGTCTGTAAATTGTTTATATATCATTAATAATAATCTTGGAAATTTGGATCCTTTTATAGAACATGATTATAATTCATCAGTACATACTTGTCAGCTAGAATGACAGCTGATACAAATCCATTTTTTAAATCAAATATAGCTGGTGTATTCCAGTTTGTTACAGAATAAACGTGACACTGTGACGGGGTGACAACTACCAAATGGTCAAAACCAAATTCAAACTGTACCACTCGATCAGATATCTCTAAAGTTTCATGCCCCTCGCTACCAACTTCTCTTACTTCTATGGTTTTGCGTCTAACTAATGTTGCTTCGTAATTATTCCACTCCAATCGTCTGTTCAGGAAATAAAATGTTTATGTATTTTACTAATATTAATGGTAAAAAATATTTAGTAGACATTTGGTTGCTATTACCTATCAATCACATGTGCTGTGAGAACAGTACCACTGCCACATGCCATTGCTACTTGAGTACTATCACTTGACCATGCTATACTGTAAATACTACCTGTATTCACTTTTTCTAAAGAATGTGACCACTGGAATAGTTATAGTGAGCCATTAGTGAATGTTGAAATAATAAGCACACTAATTATATCTGGATGATTTGTACTTAACCTACGCCTGTCTTATCACACAGCTTAATCGTGTTGAAAGATCCCACTGCAAAATAATCCCCAGAGTAACACCAACCAACTGCAGTTATGGGATGGTCTCCTTCACTGCTGCTGTATAGTGGATTTCCAGTTGAATCCCATACCTTATAACGAAGAATATTTTTTAAGTCCTTACAGTGAAACTAATGCAGCTTTATGGGTACTGTGATCTTTCTTTCTATTATTTTCATAAAAGTAGGTTTACCTTGTATCGACAGTCTTCACCTCCGGATAATATAAGCCCTTGATTATGATTCCACGAAGAGACTAGAATGAGGCCATCATGTGCGAGCCACTGAAATTATATTTATCATTCTAAGTCAGTATTGCAAGTATTGCGATGTGTTTAAATGTGTGCACCTTATGAGGTTTTGAATTAGAATTTAATGACTGCAATAGAAAGTGCGGCCCCTGACTGCATAATACACTGCAACAATCAGGACTCCAGGCAGCGGTCAAAATTGGCTGATTTCCTCGGACAACAGTTGAACGAAGCATTCCACTACGTGACCAAATCTTTACAGAACCATCTTCCCCGGCTAAAATAATAATTCACATTCATTGGCCTGGGAATGACATAAAGTAGTGATAATTTAAGTATACGCACCTGTTAGTAAAGCTGTACCATCGTAACTCCACTTTCCTACCAATGTCGCACCTTTGTGAGCTTCGACACTCTTCTCGATTCTGCCACTTCTGTTTACTAAATGAAATTTCCCTACAAAGTAACAATTTTTTCTTAGAACCTGATTCATAGACCTAGAGGATAATACAAATCGTAATGTAAATATTACCATCGGCCGATGTGATCAGAAGAACGTCAAGTGATTGCATTTTAGTAGTTACTGCACTGGGCTGCATTGGTCGAGGATGCCATTGCATATCCGTTGGATAGAAATCATCGGAGAACTTAGTGACAATAGTGGAATGAGCAGTTCCACCCTCCAGATGCCAGCATATCAACAAATGATCCTCGCTACAAGTTTAACTTCTATAATATCATAACTTATAGTCGATATATAATACTAACCTACACGAGTAAATTTCTTCTGTAGAATTCCAAGCGACGCACGTAACCATACGTTGGTGTCCATTACTATTTTTTAGGGATATTTTTAACCTCATTTCATTAACCTAACTTTGCGCGTGATCATGAAAAATATACTTCTGAAATATAGCGTGTATCATAAAGTAAGAGGTATGAAATATAAAGTTTGACATTTGGTTCCATGCGTTTCCGTTGTCATAGCAACGAGTCCAAAACATTGCATCATCTATATCTCCTCAAAAGACACCTCCAGTGTAAAAAACTTCGCCAAATACATTCTTGTTTCTTTCTTGAATTGCAAAAATAATTCAATGTGTTCATGAGTTTGAGCCAACTCATCTCTGTTACTTGACACAGAGATGCTTGACGTATTATACCAGAGATGAGTTGGGAGATTGCTCACGGGCAGAAT